GCGTCTGGGCACGCTCATCTGGTGGTCGGAGACCGGAGGGCTGAAGATCGGAGAGTAGTCGAGGTCCAGAAGGCAGGTCGGGATAGACGGGGCAGTAGAACAAGGAGGCAGTCAAGAAAGGATCGGTATCACAAACAGGAGTCAGAGCGCAGACAGGCAGGTTACTGGTCCGGGTTTGAAGACGATCTGACAGGGCTTGGCTGAAAAACAGGGCTTGATATACTGGGAGAGGTTAGTGGGGAAATGCAGTTCAGCTGGCAGAGTAATTAGAACAGAGTGAGGCAAGGTGAGGATGGTGAGTGGGAAATGCAGTGCAGCTGGCCAGGTAACAAGAGCAGAGCAGGGCGGAGCCAGGTGGAGCTCGTTAGGCAGAGTAGGGAGAGAGTGAGCAGAGTGGCAGAGAATTGAATGCAATTAATGTTGCTACCAGGGAGAGAGAGTGCTCATGACAGGGTGTTGCTATGGTGACCAATGAGCTAAGATAAGGTGGGGATTCTTCTAATGCCTCTTAAGGGGAAAGTAATCTAAAAGTAACTGAATGTAATCAGATTACGTTACTGAGTTTGGGTAATCCAAAAGTTACGTTACTGATTACAATTTTGGACAGTAACTAGTAACTGTAACGGTTTACATTAGAAAGTAACCAACCCAACCCTGATGTTATATTCCTTCTCTTTTAGCCACTTAAAAACTGATTGTCTTTTCTTATAATCTGCTAAACCGTTACACTTATAACTGGCTATACTTATTTCACCCCTAGCTGTACCTTTAGTTTATGGTTGACACAGCATGTTTGCCATTAGCCAATCGCGTTTCTCATGGATTTCAACACATTCAACTTGTATTTACGACTTCACAACTGGTTAGTACCACATTCCCACTTGGTTATGAACGCAGCATTAGTTCAGAGTTGGATGACCGTTCAAAACCATTTTTACTAGTCAGAGCTTGTTTTCTACGAGTTCCCAGTTGTCTTGAACGCACTGAAGTCAGAGATTTCCTAGTTCCAAGTTGTCTTGAACGCACCAACACAGTGGAGGAGAAGACAAAATGGAAGGTTGTGTAGACGTTGTCCTACGACAGAACACAACTGGATAACCAGTAAGGTAGCTAGCTATTGTTAAAAAAAAAAAAAAAAGTATCGTTAGATTAATTTATGCAATTATATTTTACAACAACAGTTAGTTAGATGCTAGCTAGCCAAATTAACTTCCATTAAAACATTGTCACGCGGTAAGGCTCCTTGACCCTGTGCACAGCATAGGCCAGTTAACAAGCTAACATTAGGTAGGCTCTCTAGTTAGTATACGTTTTCTCTGTTATTTTTGCTTTTGTATCAATAATGTTTGGTAGTTATACTGTTAGACATAATACCACTACATACGCCGCTTGGCTAGCGAGCTAGGTAGCTAACGTGAGCTGGTTAAATTCGTTAGCAGGCTAACGTTAGTGAAAACATTCCACGAGCTAAAGTTAACTAGCTTGTTAGCTAGCTCAATGCTAGGTGGGGGAGGGTGACTAGTCTAGTTTTTAAAACTGCATGTTTTTGTTTTAATCACTAGCTAACGCGTTAGCTAACTACATGCCTACATTGGTTTCATTCAGTGGCTGTAATTTTAATATTTCAGTGGAAGACTTATCTAATCTTCATTTGTGCGGTGTCAGTGTATCAGTTAAATTTAGAAGTTGAGTTGTGTGTCTACATGCCTCTGTAGTAAATAGCAAGTCTTGATTGAAATTCACCTTTTCTCTATGGGATGAATGAGGGAGGAATACTAATTTATCAGAAATGATCTTTGTTTAATGTAATGAACATGAGGGGGATGCCCTGTTTTTGAACACCCAATTGCAGTCTATTTCTATTCATAACATGGCAGAGTGCTCATAGCCTTGTCTACTAGCTAGATGCATATATTTTTATGCTGGTCTGATTCTGAATTCAAATATGGCTTGTATAGCTCTGGTACAGGGCGTTAGTGCGGCTCAGGCAGTGAACTAGAATGATTCATTCTATTTCTATGGGCTCAGGTAGGCCCAGTGTTAGCAAGAGGCACTAACACCCTGGACATGAGTTAGCCTTTGTAGTTACATACTGTCAGTTATTCACATCACAGGTGATGTGATTTTCCCCCCTTGAAGTCAACTGAAATAAATAGTAGAATAAAGAGTCTGCCTGTTTGCATTGTGTAGTAGGATTTCATTTTTTCTGACCTTGTACCATAGTCTCTATTACATTATTAGCATTTAAAGGTACAATATGCAGGAACCGCTCTGCCATTTCCTGGTTGCTACAATTCTAATAGTGCACATTATTTTTGTTTGACAAACAAGCACTGAGTGTAGAGAATCATTGTACTATCTAAACCGCTGTGAAATATATTTTCAATAACCAAAATGATTGTATTTGCAGCTGTTTGAAACTGGTGTACAAAATTAAAAGAGACAAACTAAGCTTAAGCACAGGAATCCTATAAATAGTGCACATAGAACAAATCTACCGCTTCTTAGACTTGCTTTCAATGAGAATTACAGGTCTATAACTCACATTTCGATATGAATTCGGTCGGGTCGCCCAATAAGTTACATATTGTAGCTTTAACTGGTTCTGCATTGTCTGCTGGTGAACTGCAGTTGACCAAGGGGGACCCCTTTAGGTATATATAAAATATTGAATTTGGCCTTCTACTATAGCCCATAAAAACACATTAAATAATACATTCATAAATGGCAAAACAGGCACAAATCGTAAGGCATACGGTTTTGAAGTGTCTTTCCTATATCTAGGAGATATAAGAAAGCGAAGGAATTAATTTTTGTTTTTTAGACATACATTACCAGTCAAAAGTTTTAGAACACCTACTTATTCAAGGGTTTTTATTTATAAAAAATTTAAAAAACGTTTCTACATTGTAGAATAATAGTGACGTCATCAAAACTATGAAATAACACATGGAATCATGTAGTAACCAAAAAAGTGTTAAACAAATCAAAATATATTTTATATTTGAGATTCTTCAAATAGCCACCCTTTGCCTTGACAGCTTTGCTTACTTTTGGCATTCTCTTAACCAGCTTCACCTGGAATGCTTTTCCAACAGTCTTGAAGGAGTTCCCACATATGCTGAGCACTTGTTGGATGCTTTTTCTTCACTCTGCGGTCCAACTCATCCCAAACCATCTCAATTTGGTTGGGGGATTGTGGAGGCCAGGTCATCTGATGCAGCACTCCATCACTCTCCTTCTTGGTAAAATAGCCCTTACACAGCCTGGAGGTGTGTTGGGTCATTGTCCTGTTGAAAAACAAATGATAATCCCGGTAAGCCCAAACCAGATGGGGATGGTGTTTCGCTGCAGAATGCTGTGGTAGGCATGCTAGTTAAGTGTGCCTTGAATTCTAAATAAATCACAGACCGTGTCACCAGCAAAGCACCCCCACACCATAACACCACTACCTCCGTGCTTTACGGTGGAAAATACACATGCGGAGATCATCCGTTCATCCACACCGCGTCTCACAGACAGCAGTTGGAACCAAAAATCTCACACCGGTCTAATGTCCATTGCTCGTGTTTCTTGGCCCAAGCAAGTTTCTTCTTCTTATTGGTGTCCTTTAGTAGTGGTTCCTTTGCAGCAATTCAACCATGAAGGCCTGATTCACACAGTCTCCTCTGAACAGTTGATGTTGAGATGTGTCTGTTGAACTCTGTGAAGCATTTATTTGGGCTGCAATTTCTGAGGCTGGTAACTCTAATGAACTTATCCTCTGCAGCAGAGGTAACTCTGGGTCTTCCATTCCTGTGGCGGTCTTCATGAGAGCTGGTTTCATCATAGCGCTTGATGGTTTTTGCGACTGCACTTGAAGAAACGTTCAAAGTTCTAAATGTTCCGTATTGACTGACCTTCATGTCTTAAAGTAATGATGGACTGTTGTTTCTCTTTGCTTATTTGAGCTGTTCTTGCCAAAATATGGACTTGGTCTTGTACCAAATAGGGCTATCTTCTGTATACCCCGCCTACCTTGTCAAAACACAACTGATTGGCTCAAACGCATTAAGAAGGAAAGAAATTCCACAAATTAACTTTTAACAAGGCACACCTGTTAATTGAAATGCATTCCAGGGGACTATCTCATGAATCTGGTTGAGAGAATGCCAAGAGTGTGCAAAGCTGTCATCAAGGCAAAGGGTGGCTACTTTGAAGAATCTAAAATATATTTTGATTTGTTTAACACTTTTTTTGGTTACTACATGATTCCATATGTGTTATTTAATAATTTTGATGTCTTCAGTATTATTCTACAATGTAGAAACTAGTACAAATAAAGAAAAACCCTTGAATGAGTAGGTGTTCTAAAACCTTTGACCGGTAGTGTATTTAACCACTCTAACTACCTCTACTCCCATTGTTTTAAAACTGGTACCGGTTACTGTCAGACAAGTCCTGTGACACTTGTAGGGGGTGTAGCGTAAAACGGAGAACACCATCGTGTTCGTGAGAATCTCCCCTTTCCACAGTGGGATCACATTAGTTTGTAGCCCAAACGGTTCGAACGCTACAAACACAAGTTGGCACAAGGACAGTACTGACTTCAGACGAGTCCCGTGGGGGTTGTAGAGCAAAACGGAAAATGCCATCGTTTTTGTGAGAGTTTATTTTCCATATTAGTTTAGGTCAAAACGTTTTGACACTACAGACGTTTTTGTGAGAAGACGCCACTGTAGCTCGGCCACCTTCCACCGCAGATGCAGAAGGCCGACATAGGCGGATGCGGTGGATTGAGATGCTACCCATGCAAAAATGATATCTAGCATAAACTGACAGATTTTGATGGGGATTTTTTTGTTACCCAGATTGACGAACTGGTGCGTCAGACTCTTAAGGATTAATGCAAAGTGATGGACTGCTCTTCAAGGCTCAACGTGTAAATGTGCTTCATTTCAATCAACAGCATTTGTGGTAGATTGGATAACATTAGTATTTTTCTATCTTGATTTGACAGGATGTCTACCATGGAGGACTTTATGGATATCAATGAGATCCATGACCTCACTGGCACTGATACAGGTATGACCTTTCCTATTTTCCTCCCCCTTTTAGTCTTAATGGAATGGACTGTGCATTAGCTGTCCAAATGATGGGATTGTTTTTCTACCCTTGCTCTTCTCTCCTTGGTGTAGAGGAGCACAGAGGAGATTCAGAGCAGGTGGAGGGGGCCGAGAGGGGAGCTAGGCCGACCATCAGCGAGTTCAAAAAGACCTGGGGCTTCAGGCGGACCACGGTTGCCAGAAGAGAGTTTGTGGGATTGGATGAGATTGAAGATCCAGAATCTCCACCCCTACCCTCACGTCGGGGCAGAGGCCGCCCAGCCAAGACCTATTCAAGACGTGGGCGAGGGGGGAGGAGGAGCGTCCCGGCCGACCTGGAGTACTCCGGAACGGCCTCCCCCATTCCAATGGACACAGAGCCTTCCTCAGAACCCCAAGAGCTCTGCCCAGGTGGCAGCCTAGATCCCACCTCTTGGCAGGACTTTGGATCTGCATTTGGCACTGCTTTTTCTCTACTTGGGGAGAAGGAGGAGGATTACATGCCCATGGCTGCCCCTGCCCAAACTATGGCTGCCCCTGCCCCTAGCTATGGGGCTAGTGGGGACGTGGAAGCTGCCTCCAGTATAGAGGAGGACAGTGATGAGCTGACCCTGAAGCAGCTCCAGGAACGGCTGAGTACTAGGGGGAGGGGGGAGTCCAGGGGGAGGGGGGTCAGAGGGAGAGGCCGGGGGAGGGGAAGAGGGAGAGGCAGAGGACGAGGGAGAGGTAGGGGGCGTGGGAGGGGGAGGAGGGTGGAGCCAGAGTCGAGCACTGCGGACGAAGAGGAGGTGATTTTTGTCAATGAGTTGGAACCGCAGCAGGTGCATCAGCCTCAGGCGGAAAGGGAGAGGAGTCCTGAGAAGGTTGTGGTAGATTCTCAAAGCCCTTCTCCTTCTCAACAGTCCAGCTCAGACTCTATGCCGCCTCTTGAGTCTGATCCAGAGACAACAGATGAAAAGGCTAGCCAAAATGATAATGTAACAGAGGCAAAGGACAAGGTGGAAGAGGAGGAGAGGATCGAGGAAGAAAAGTCAGAGTATTCTAGCATATCGGACAGTGAGGGCTACAACCCCCATGCCCTTTACTGCATCTGTCGACAGAGACACAACAAAAGGTATGTGTAGCATTGTCTAGGACGGTATTAATCTGTGAAAACAAACAAGCAAGCAAGCCTAATGTTTTTGGTATAGCAACACTAAATCTCGGCTGTTTCCATCTGCCACAGACATCTGTTTCTAAATTGTCTGTGGTTGTTGATTGTAGTTGTTGTTCTTTAGCTGACACTTTTCTTATTGCTCTTCTGATTCCTTGTCCAGGTTCATGATCTCCTGTGACAATTGTCTGGAGTGGTTCCATGGCGACTGCGTTGGCATCAGCGAGATGCAGGGCCGAAAGCTTGAGAGGAGTGGACGAGACTGGATCTGCGCCACCTGCACCAGCAAGCGCCAGAGCCAGCCAGACCCCCAGCAGAGCTCCCCTGACTGCCTGACACTGCCCTACTCTGGGGAGGAGGAGGTTGTCCATGAAGAGCAGGCCAGCGAGGTGAGAACTTAAAAAAACACTGATTCCTTTGCTAGCAAGCAAGGAAATAAATTGTAGTTTGTGGTGTTATATGGCTTTCCTTGCTTTGTACGGCACGAACTTGACTACATTTTAACCATGGTGTTTAGTTGCATGTTTGAGATGTGAGCTGACGTGAGTCTGGTCCTAGGAGGCTGTGGTGCAGGAGGTGACTGAGATGGTTGCTGAAGCTGAGATGGAGTTGGACGGTTCCCTGCCCCAGTGCATCGGCTCAGGGTGCAGTAAGCACGCCCTGCCCGACTCCGTTTACTGCGGCACAGACTGTATCCTCCGGCACGCGGCTGCCACTATGAAGACCCTCTCTGACTCCAAAGAGACTAAAACCAAACAACGCCCACAGAGGAGAGCAGCAGCCAAAACTGGCCCTAAGGTAACCCGTGGTTCAAAATAGGTTGTTTTGGTTAAGAGACTGTACCTAAACTTTTCAATTTTTTTCTTCTGCATGTTGTCCTTGTTTCATTTTGGTGATGAATGTATGCTGAGATTGTTTGCCTTTGAAATAGATAAATATGACACTTTGACACACTCACTCACATAGTATGAGTACATTTAACCCCAAATAAGATGATGTTGACCTCTGTGAATATTTTGACCTCAGGGTCAGAGGTCGGCTAGGATGCCCCAGATGTTGTTGGCGGAGCGGCCCGAAGAGGAGGGTGAGGAAGAGGAGGCTGAAGAAGTTGAGGGCAAGGAAGTGGACACATCTACATCTCCCTTATCCTGTGACCCTAGTCTCACTGCAGTACAGGCCACATCCATAGTATCACCTATGTTTTACAAGTCGAGTATGTATCACTCACAGCACATGCATATCCAACACATACAGAATACTTTCACTCAGTTGGCATTCATCAGACACTAGCTATAACGTAACCTATACCATCCACAATCTGTAGGTGTAGGGAGACAAGGTTATTTGCAGGGGTCAGCAGCAATGGGTAAGTGTACAAATTTTGGCAACTTTGTTATAAAATGTTTTCCTTCAACTAGTTGAACAGGAAACGTGGAAAAATAATAGAAACCAAACCAATCAACAATCGAAATTAAATGTCCTCAGTTCCCAAATAGTAGAAAGTTTAGTATAGTCTGGTTGAGATGCTTCTACTTCAATACCACCGTCTTTCTACAGTCCAGTATTTCAATAGTTGCTAATGTTTTGATTTGACAAATATTGAAACCGGTACATTATTCAGTGACAGCCTTACATGGCAACAACATAACAACAAGGTACAGGCTGCAATTAGGTGAGTCTGTCTTAAAAATACTAGTAAATTCTTCACACAATTACTAATGCAGAGTACTGTGTCAGGAAATACAGTGGAAGTATGTTTTCAAAAATAGGATACACAAGTTGTTCAGATAAAAATCACTGCTTGATGGAAAGCGCAAAACCAATTAACTCGTTGACACATGAATATGGTTTTAGTTCTCAGGGAAAAAACATTACTTCAGAGTCAAAGAAAATTAATGCTCGCTCACTATGGTCCTAAAACAAGGTCTCTTCGGCCATTCAGTAGTGCCTGGTATAGGAAATAGATTAATTCAACAATGGATGAAAAACCGGTGACACAGCAATAGCACATTTTCTGCCTCAAAGATGGCAACCAAATGCAAGCTACAGACCAGTTGAGCTTTTGGAGGAACTGGTTTGAATTCTTTGTGCAATGGCGTTTGAACTGTGACTGTGGGTGGAATACTGAAGAGAATCATCCAGTCTTATAAGATTCATAGAGCAATGTTGACCGGTTAATAGAAAAGGCCAAGGTTAGCTTTGGGTCGGTTTAAATCCCTGGCTAAAGTTCAAGCTGCCACTTTTCTCAACAATCACTGATTTTGGCTAGACACATCTGTAGCATTGGCGCATTGCAATGGTCTCTGCTTTTCCTAGTTTCTTATCTGCGCTGTTCACAATCTTGCTTTCACTTCGCCTGTGTTTTCATATCAGTGCTCATGGAGGAGAGGGGATGAGCGCCACGCTCCCGCTCTTGGAACGTAAACTTTTGGCCATTTTTGTAATTAAGATTTTAGAATTTGTATCCTAAAGAACGTGCAGTGTCATGCTATACACACATGGGACACCAACACACACAGCCATATTGTACATTGACTCAGATCAGTGCTCATGGAGGAGAGGGGACTATTGAGATGCATCCCTTGTCCTTAGTCTTACATACTAGATTGCGCTCATCCTCACGACTAGCTTCTTCAGATCCATTGCTTTTGCTATAAACTACTTCTACAGGGCTGTCTTTGTTATTTAAAGGCCCAATGCAGCTGTTTTTATATCAATATCAAATTATTTCTGGATAACAATTAAGTACCTTACTGTAATAGATTCCCATTAAAATGAGCAAAAATATACTGAGCAAAAATATAAACGCAACATGCAACAATTTCAAAGATTTTACAGAGTTACAGTTCATACAGTGAAGGAAAAAAGTATTTGATACCCTGCTGATTTTTTACGTTTGCCCACTGACAAAGACATGATCAGTCTATAATTTTAATGGTAGGTTTATTTGAACAGTGAGAGACAGAATAACAACAAAAAAATCCAGAAAAACACATGTCAAAAATGTTATAAATTGATTTGCATTTTAATGAGGGAAATAAGGATTTGACCCCTCTGCAAAACATGACTTGGTGGAAAAACCCTTGTTGGCAATCACAGAGGTCAGACGTTTCTTGTAGTTGGCCACCAGGTTTGCACACATCTCAGGAGGGATTTTGTCCCAGTCATTAAGGTTTCGAGGCTGACGTTTGTCAACTTGAACCTTCAGCTCCCTCCACAGATTTTCTATGGGATTAAGGTCTGGAGACTGGCTAGGCCACTCCAGGACCTTAATGTGCTTCTTCTTGAGCCACTCCTTTGTTGCCTTGGCCGTGTGTTTTGGGTCATTGTCATGCTGGAATACCCATCCACGACCTATTTTCAATGCCTTGGCTGAGGGAAGGAGGTTCTCACCCAAGATTTGACGGTACATGGCCCGTCCATCGTCCCTTTGATGCGGTGAAGTTGTCCTGTCCCCTTAGCAGAAAAACACCCCCAAAGCATAATGTTTCCACCTCCATGTTTGATGGTGGGGATGGTGTTCTTGGGGTCATAGGCGGCATTCCTCCTCCTCCAAACACGGCGAGTTGAGTTGATGCCAAAGAGCTCGATTTTGGTCTCATCTGACCACAACACTTTCACCCAGTTCTCCTCTGAATCATTCAGATGTTCATTGGCAAACTTCAGACGGGCCTGTATATGTGCTTTCTTGAGCAGGGGGACCTTGCGGGCGCTGCAGGATTTCAGTCCTTCGCGGCGTAGTGTGTTACCAATTGTTTTCTTGGTGACTATGGTCCCAGCTGCCTTGAAATCATTGACAAGATCCTCCCGTGTAGTTCTGGGCTGATTCCTCACCGTTCTCATGATCATTGCAACTCCACGAGGTGAGATCTTGCATGGAGCCCCAGGCCGAGGGAGATTGACAGTGCTTTTTTGTTTCTTCCATTTGCGAATAATCGCACCAACTGTTGTCACCTTCTCACCAAGCTGCTTGGCGATGGTCTTGTAGCCCATTCCAGCCTTGTGTAGGTCTACAATCTTGTCCCTGACATCCTTGGAGAGCTCTTTGGTCTTGGCCATGGTGGAGAGTTTGGAATCTGATTGATTGATTGCTTCTGTGGACAGGTGTCTTTTATACAGGTAACAAGCTGAGATTAGGAGCACTCCCTTTAAGAGTGTGCTCCTAATCTCAGCTCATTACCTGTATAAAAGACACCTGGGAGCCAGAAATCTTTCTGATTTGAGAGGGGGTCAAATATTTATTTCCCTCATTAAAATGCAAATCAATTTATAACATTTTTGACATGTGTTTTTCTGATTTTTGTTGTTGTTATTCTGTCTCACTGTTCAAATAAACCTACCATTCAAATTATAGACTGATCATTTCTTTGTCAGTGGGCAAACGTACAAAATCAGCAGGGGATCAAATACTTTTTTCCCTCACTGTATAAGGAAATCAGTCAATTGAAATAAATTCATCAGGTAGGTGTGTGACTCAGAAAACCAGTCAGTATCTGGTGTGACCACCATTTGCCTCATGCAGCGCGACACATCTCCTTCGCGTAGTTAATGAGGATGTTGATGATTGCCTATGGAATGTTGTCCCACTTCTCTTCAATGGCTGTGTGAAGTTGCTGGATATTAGGGGGAACTGGAACACACTGCCATACACGTCGATCCAGAGCATCCCAAACATGCTCAATGGGTGACATGTCTGGTGGGTATGCAGGCCATGGAAGAACTGGGCCATTTTCAGCTTCCAGTAATTGTGTACAGATCCTTGCGACATGGGGCCGTGCATTATCATGCTGAAACATAAGGTGATGATGGCGGATAAATGGCACAACAATGGGCCTCAGGATCTCGTCACGGTATCTCTCTGCATTCTAATTGCCATAGATAAAACGCAATTGTGTTCGTTGTCCGTAGCTTATGCCTGCCCATACCATAACCCCACCGCCACCTTGGGGCACTCTGTTCACAACGTTGACATCAGCATACTGCTCGCCCACTAGACGCCATACACGTGGTCTGCGGTTGGAAGTAATGCCAAATTCTCTAAAACGACATTGGAGGCAGCTTATGGTAGGCAAATGAACATTCAATTTTCTGGCAACAGCTCTGGTGGACATTTCTGCAGTCAGCTTGCCAATTGCACGCTCCCTCAAAACGTGAGACCTCTGGTGTTGTGGCAAAACTGCACATTTTAGAGTGGCCTTTTATTGTCCCCAGCACAAGGTGCACCTGTGTAATGATGTTTAATCAGCTTCTTGATATGCCACACCTGTCAGGTGGATGGATTATCTTGGCAAAGGAGAAATGCTCACTAACAGGGATGTAAACAAATTAGTGAACCAAATGAGATGAATAAGCATTTTCTGCATATGGAACATTTCTAGGATATTTTATTTCAGCTCATGAAACATATGACCAACACTTATTGTGCTTATATTTTAGTTCATTGTAGTTTTTTTTGCACAAAAAACTTTCTCAAGCAAGAATTTTACTAGGACGGTCTGGGAGTGGTCTGAGTGAGGAAGAGGGAAATTGAAAACTATCTGTTATTGACAGAGAGGTTTAGAACTCTCTTTATTGGTCTATTAACTAATTTACTGCATGGTGATGTCACTATGGAAAGCCAAAACTCCCACCCATCCAAACCTGCTGAAGAAAAGGTCCTGTGTAGATTGTATTTGCAACCATTAACTATTAGGAAATAACACTGATACATTTTTTTCACACTTTTACAGTGTTCGAGATGTGTCATCAGCTGTTGTACAATATAATACCAAACACAGGAAAAACTGAATTTTGACTGCACTGGGCCTTTAAAACAATGCTTCAGCTATTCATCAAAGGATCATATTCACCTGAGCACCGGAGACTGCACTGTCTATCCAGACATGGGATTTGTTTTCAGAAGCATCTATTCATAAAGGGTACATTTGTATTTTAGGATGTATGCATGTGTTTGAAAGAAAGCTACCATAGTTGGCAACATTTGCTACAAGTTGTCATGAAGTGCTTGACAGTAACCTGGCCTAGACCCCAAAGGCTAAGCAGAACCCCAGTGGCAAGAAAAAGAAGCCTTGAGAGGAACCAGGCTGAGGGGAGGCCCATCCTCTGGCTGTACCAGGTAGTTACCTACATTGTACTTGTATGTTGTTCAAAGAATACGAGCAGGGACAGACCGTTTTCTGTATCTGCGAGGCACACACGGTTAAGGATGTTTTGGCCAGATAGTTGTCCATAAAAGGCTTATAATACTCAGTTTTGGGGTATAGACTTTGCAGACACAGCATGATGGGACAGACTAATATGTGGAGGCACCAACTGGTAGGGTGAAGCAGAAAGGGAGGGAATGGGGCAGTAGGGCAGCATCTGGACGTGTTGGTGGAAAGCTGTCTATAATGGTAGTAATTGAGTACAACAAAGGCAGTCCCAGCCAGTGCGCATGTTCACTTTGGCACCTTTTCCATACCAAACAATTTACAACTGTTCAGTGCTGTTGAATGTGGACTTGTGGTTTCACTCGGATAAGTATGACGGTCTAGATTGATTCATACTTTAGCAAAGTTTTTCCCTCAAAGTGAGTTTGAATTTTCCAATCTGCCAAAGAAATTTCGATTTTGGACATTGGTTATTGTCACTGGTGTCCAGAGGCACGACCTGGTCCTCTGCCTTGCCCTCTGGTAATTAATGCTACCCCTTTACCCATGCCACTTGGTATTCAAAAGAGTACCCATGTTCAGCAGTTTGATCATTTGACACTGGAACCCTATCAGTTCTATTCCCAACTAATTTTTGACTTACAAGAGACCTTGCTGCAACTGACATGATTGTACAGATTTTATTTAGCTAGTGCATTTAGCGAGGGGGGAAAAAAATGGTCATACTCGATTTAATATTGCAATACATATCATTTGTTGATGAGGAAACACAAACTCAAATAATTCAAAATGGGAACATTTGTAAAAAAATATATATATATATATATATTGTTATCTTTTTTTGGCCCCGTGTGGTCTTAAAAAAAAAAGAAGGGGGAATGGGAGCTCTGTAACCCTTTACATATATTCCCCCCTCTTTATTTCAGACAGGTGGAAACTAGATGGGGTTACAGGTTGGTAGAGGGGAGAACAGGAGGAAAGTGGTGGTTGCAGTGGGATTCGATCCCACGCTGTTCTGGGGGACTGCTGCGCCACACCCCAGCAGTTGAAACTTAAAACTTTTGGCAATTTTCTTTATGAATAATTTTTATCTTCAACTTGCAGTGTCTCACACACACACACACACACACACACACACACACACACACACACACACACACGCACTAGTTGATATTTGGCTCACTTTTAGGCTTATGTCTGGCCACAAATCCTTACCGGACCGTTCCTGGCTATACACTACACCTCAGACATTTCAACAGCTCACACACACAAACCCCAACATGCACACAGACCAGAGGGAAAGAGGATTCTATGCAAATAGGGACTTGGAGAGATTGGCGAGCGGAGCAGTTTTTCAGCTGGAGCATGGAGCCGCTGAGAGGATGTTCATTACATTTACGTCATTTAGCAGACGCTCTTACAAATTGGTGCATTCACCCTATAGCCAGTGTGATAACCACTTTACAATATATATATATATATATATATATTTTTTTTAAGGGCGGGGGGGGGGGAGAAGGATTACTTTATCCTATCCCAGGTATTCCTTAAAGAGGTGGGGTTTCAAATGTCTCCGGAAGGTGGTGAGTGACTCCGCTGTCCTGGCGTCGTGAGGGAGCTTGTTCCACCATTGGGGTGCCAGAGCAGCGAACAGTTTTGACTGGGCTGAGCGGGAACTATGCTTCCGCAGAGGAAGGGGAGCCAGCAGGCCAGAGGTGGATGAACGCAATGCCCTCGTTTGGGTGTAGGGACTGATCAGAGCCTGAAGGTACGGAGGTGCCGTTCCCCTCACAGCTCCATAGGCAAGCACCATGGACTTGTAACAGATGCTAGCTTCAACTGGAAGCCAGTGGAGTGTGCGGAGGAGCGGGGTGACGTGAGAGAACTTGGGAAGGTTGAACACCAGACGGGCTACGGCATTCTGGATGAGTTGTAGGGGTTTAATGGCACAGGCATTAAACCCCTACAATGCCATGCAGGATTTCTCCAAGGATCATGACAAACAGTGAATGCCAGATTAATTTAACCATTTCAATAAAGAAGACAAATACACAGCTGGCCAATGCCACTGACAATCAATACTGCAATGCCTGGCAGATCAGCAGGAATTGTAAAATGATACTTCCAATAATTCCAATTTGGAACATGACCTGAATTATCCTATTAGGATTTGAAATCACTCACAAAAGGACACACTTGCGCCTTTGCTCTACAGTTGGGTTATAGTTTATTTGTCTTGAGTTAATTCAATAACCTGTATTAGTGAACACCTGTTTGAATCCTGCACGTGAATGGGGTTCAGTGAAATGCCATGGAAATGTGCAAGGAGTACAGCAATTTATTTAGTCATTTAGTTATTGCACACATGGAACAATGACTAAGGCTGTGTTTAGACTGGCAGCCCAATTTATGTTATTTTTTTCACTAATTGGTATTTTGACCAATCAGATCAGCTCTGAAAATGATCTGATGTGATTGGTCAAAAGACCAATTTAGTGAAAAAAATATCAGAATTGGGCTGCCTGTGTAAACGCAGTCATAGTTTCCAGTTATACATTTTAGTAACCTGGTCAAGTACACAAGCATTATTCTGAACCATTTGAAGGGTTTTCCACAAAACAGACATGTATTTTATGTACATTTAGTATTTTTTCTTGTTTTCCTGTGGTTCTGTTTTTATTTTTGACAGTTACAAATCCTGAACACATCTGACACTAGAGGAACGCAACCTCATTGCTAATACCCTTACAATGTGGCCATGTGTCTTACGTCTCACAATTCATATGGAAACATTTGACATAGATGACCAGCTGATTTAAAAAAAAAATATTGATCCGATACGTTTCAGATTCACTTACAAGTATTCACACCCTCACTGCTATTTTGCAAATATGGACTGGGTACTGACCTCTATCACACTACCTGAGATGATGAGTGACTACCAATATTATGGTCGGACACAGACTGAGACACCAAGCCCCTGACCTAGACCTTGTATACTGTTTTTAGTCACAACCAAGATTTAGGCCGCAGTCAAATAACAACCCCTGACCTCTACCTCAGTTTTTGCAGATCTGAATGAACTATAAGAAGGCTAGGTGGAGGCGTCATCATTGCTTATTTTGCCAGTGTTACTCAATACTTTCATGGGGGACTCCAGGAGGTGCAGCTTTTTGTTCCAGCTCAGCACTAACATACCAGTGCAGCCTCATGGGCCCCAAGATTAAGGAAAACTGTTATTCCTTTGTTTGCAGATCTGAAGGAACTGGATAGGTGTAAGCAGTATGTGTCTTCATCTCTGCTCTCTGTTCAACCATTATCTACCGTTTTAGCTTTTCGTCTTTTGTTAAACACAAGCACCCTCTACTGGCCAGACATTAGAATATATTTTAAACAGTGCAATTATTCAGTGTGACGTTCTCCTGAGAATGTATCATATTACCGTACCCCCAAGAAAGTGTCGTGAGAAATCTCAGTCAATACTAATACCACAGCATTTCTAAACCCAGAAGGACAACATCGCGATACATCGGGAAAGGCTTGCGAAACAGACCAGGCCGAGGGTTCGAGAAGTCAATGAGAGAAGTGAAAAATTCTTCCTTAGTTGTTCATTTTCTCGAAATCTAAAGGCACAACCTAGATTCGAGCCAATGTCTTAAGAAGTTGAACATGTTATTACTCCAACCTCATAAAAGTCATAAACTGACACGTTTTTCTTTTTTTTCAAAAACAACTTTATATCGAAGGAGTGCCTTTGATTTGACGTCCTGCACATGGGCAGTTCGGCGCGAGAAGAACGTTTGACCCATGACATGTTTCTATGCATGAGCTGTGCTAGCCAACTTTGACATGACATCGCCTACATGTGTGATCGTGGATTTCTATTTGGAGATGCAGTTTTAGCCTATCTTCATACTGTACTGTCTTTGCTAATACTTTAATGATACATAATACATAATTTTACATCGTTCATGTTTGGGTAGCGTTCTACTGTAGAAACGACTATATCAGATACTGTAAGCATTCTGAGTGAGATGTTATAAAATTGTTCAACTACACACATTTAATGCCCAGATCATAATTCGTTTTATTGGTCATGATGTTCTTTATATCCAAGTCACTTGATTGCGGCAAGGGTGCCGTTCCATTCACTTGCTAATGTGACTGGTTAACACTCAAGCATAGAGCTTGACCTGATTTGCTGCTTTTACAATCTAAACAGATGCCTTACAGAAGAAGGAAGTACTGCTCCAAAATGCACACTAGACACACTTAAATCTTAATCTCACAAATTATCATATGACAGAAGTCCAATAAAGTACATAAATAGTAATCTGTAGTTTCTCCAATAGATCACAACAGGATCTGTGTAGAATCTCTACATTTAATCACGCAAGTTTTGTAATATTGCTAGATGCAACCGCATACAATGGATATTGAGTAGGAAAGTGTGGATTTAACCAGAAGTCCTGTGTTTATGGAGCGAGCCTATTAACATCTGTGCCATAACATTCCAGGACCTCGTTTCCCAGAGCCTTCGTAGCGTTAAGATCATATCTTTAGTAGCCAAGGTCTTTCCCAGAGCCTTTGTTAGTATCGTGGCTCTTAAAAACCTTCACACATCTACGGAGTGATCCTGACCACTCATAGAGCAGCCAAAGTGCATCATTAGGCTTATTTTCTGCCTTACCTCACAAGATATCCTTCTATAACAATGTAAGTGTTTTGTGTGAATGGGCATGATCATACAATGTTACATTTTTCATTTGGGTAATGTATAGGATCTAATGTAATATTTTAAATATGTATTTATAACATTTTGTCAAGCTTAGTTTTATTTGATCCAAAGCTGAATCTTATCGGGTACAAATTGGAAACACCTGGAACTCTATAAACGGCAAGCCATTGTCAGGTCAGTGGAACAACAATAATACAGCATGGCTGCTATTCAGCTGATTATTTATCCAACATAACCGGTGACTCTGGCTGCGCAGTCGGTTGGTGTTTATAAATGTGCATGTTCAAAACAACCTGAGGCTGTTGCAGACTCACAATGATGGGGCTAATAATAATCGCAGCACCGCCATCCCCAAACATCTTCCTGTGGCTATGCGCTGAGGTGCAGCTTCTAACAGCCTTGTGCTTTTACTCAGTGTGGCGTTTACTTTAGGGCTTTGGGGATGGACATAGAATATACATTTTTATGAAAAACCTAAATGTGTGTAGTAGAGGGTTAGGGGTTAGTTACTGTATATATTTGTGGACCGTGGATCAAATCTTTAAAATGATTAACATTACATGACAAATGGTTAGTTTGTTATTTATTTTCATACATAAAACCTAGTCTGCGGAATTTATAGGCCTAGCCTACGTTTCACATGAAATGTGGGCTATTAGTCGTGCTCGCTAATGACGCAAGCGGCATCGCTTTCAGCACCAGGAAACTGGACAGCTCCCCCAATGGGATTGTGGGAAAAACTGAACACGACCCCAACGATGCTCTTAGCTGTTGCTCTTACAGGTTCACACTACCTGCTTATTTGGGAAAGACTTTTGAAAAGTTGGCTCGTAAATAACGATGCTTTTGGTATGATCATGTAATGCTTAAGTTACAACGCAACTGGGAAACGAGGCCCAGACCTCTTAGCAGAGATCATTGTGCTCTCACATACAGGGAGGCTCTCCCTCTCTCAAGGAGTGTCCTGCACACACACACCCCAATGCAAACAGGGGAACACTTCTTCAAAGGCCCAGAGTAACAAAAAAATATGTGTCATTTCAATGCTTCCATCAATAGCTATGGAAGCTGGAACAGCTAAAGCAACACTTGAACCAGCAGAGGACAATTCAAGTGCACTACTGCCTGTGCCATAAAGTTCCAGACCTCATGGCAGGTGCCATAGTATACTTTCCGAAGGCAGGCTTCAAGAAAAGTCATGATATAGGGGGGGCTACATAGCTGATGGAAAGAGAAATGAAAGGACTGTATGTCCCTACATGACAGGGATCTACCATGCCAGTCCTTCGAGGGCTGCAGTCCTACTTGTTTTCATGTCTCCCTGGCACGTCACTGATCAATTTGTGTCATTGATTAGCCATTGACCACCTGAATCCAGGTTTTCGGCTTCTTATGAAAAAGCAAAGACGAAAACCAGCGTATACGGCGTCCATCAAGTATTAGTGTTGTGTACATCTGCGCTATAAGGAACAAATCTGCCATGCCCAGTGTCAGCGGGTCTAATAGACTAGACGTAACAGAGTAAACGTAAATCCGGGACACTCAAATTATAATGATATGTTACGTTTGGTATGGTTACATACGGTGCTTGACTTTGACTGAAATAAGTGCCGGTACTCATTTTGGGTGCCAGTACTGTTTATATTTGGGAGCAGGAGCTCCACAATACTTTTAAGCTAATATTCTACAAGAGGAACAGGAGCTCAAGCAGTAGAACATTTGAGGTGCCAGTACTTGTCTCAGTTGAGCTCCTGCCCAAGTCAAGCACTGGTTATATAAGATGGAAGATTACTTAAGGCAAAAACGAAAGAAGGATGTCTGGAACTCTTGGAGGGATGCAACACCATTCTTCAACAAGAAATTCCATAATTTGGTGTTTTGTTGACGGTGGTGGAAAACGATGTCTTAGGCGCCGCTCCAGAATCTCCCATAAGTGTTCAATTGGAATGAGATCTGGTGACTGAGAGACACACACACACACTTTAAACCCCCTATGCTCTTTTGAGACCCTTCTTTCAAAGTCATTGTGATCTCTTCTAGCCATGGTAGCAAAAAGAATGGGCAACTGGGCATTTTTATACATGACCCAGTGTTTCCGTTAGCTGGCTTTTGGTCAATAAAAATATTGAAAAGCGGATAAATAAATATGGCGCCGGCCAATTGTCCGGGAGAAGAAAATATTACGAAATAATGCTTTTTAACCTATTAATTGATGGAAATACCAGTCGATTTAAATACACTGCTCAAAAAAATTAAGGGAACACTAAAATAACACATCCTAGATCTGAATGAATGAAATAATCTTATTAAATACTTTTTTCTTTACATAGTTGAATGTGCTGACAACAAAATCACACAAAAATTATCAATGGAAATCAAATTTATCAACCCATGGAGGTCTGGATTTGGAGTCACCCTCAAAATTAAAGTGGAAAACCACACTACAGGCTGATCCAACTTTGATGTAATGTCCTTAAAACAAGTCAAAATGAGGCTCAGTAGTGTGTGTGGCCTCCACGTGCCTGTATGACCTCCCTACAACGCCTGGGCATGCTCCTGATGAGGTGGCGGATGGTCTCCTTAGGGATCTCCTCCCAGACCTGGACTAAAGCATCCGCCAACTCCTGGACAGTCTGTGGTGCAACGTGGCGTTGGTGGATGGAGCGAGACATGATGTCCCAGATGTGCTCAATTGGATTCAGGTCTGGGGAATAGGCGGGCCAGTCCATAGCATCAATGCCTTCCTCTTGCAGGAACTGCTGACACACTCCAGCCACATGAGGTCTAGCATTGTCTTGCATTAGGAGGAACCCAGGGCCAACCGCACCAGCATATGGTCTCACAAGGGGTCTGAGGATCTCATCTCGGTACCTAATGGCAGTCAGGCTACCTCTGGCGAGCACATGGAGGGCTGTGCGGCCCTCCAAAGAAATGCCACCCCACACCATGACTGACCCACCGCCAAACCGGTCATGCTGGAGGATGTTGCAGGCAGCAGAACGTTCTCCACGGCGTCTCCCGACTCTGTCACGTCTGTCACATGTGCTCAGTGTGAACCTGCTTTCATCTGTGAAGAGCACAGGGTGCCTTGGTGTTCTCTGGCAAATGCCAAACGTCCTGCACGGTGTTGGGCTGTAAGCACAACCCCCACCTGTGGACGTCGGGCCCTCATACCACCCTCATGGAGTCTGTTTCTGACCGTTTGAGCAGACACATGCACATTTGTGGCCTGCTGGAGGTCATTTTGCAGGGCTCTGGCAGTGCTCCTCCTGCTCCTCCTTGCACAAAGGCGGAGGTAGCAGTCCTGCTGCTGGGTTGTTGCCCTCCTACGGCCTCCTCCACGTCTCCTGATGTACTGGCCTGTCTCCTGGTAGCGCCTCCATGCTCTGGACACTACGCTGACAGACACAGCAAACCTTCTTGCCACAGCTCGCATTGATGTGCCATCCTGGATGAGCTGCACTACCTGAGCCACTTGTGTGGGTTGTAGACTCCGTCTCATGCTACCACTAGAGTGAAAGCACCGCCAGTATTCAAAAGTACCCAAAACATCAGCCAGGAAGCATAGGAACTGAGAAGTGGTATGTGGTCACCACCTGCAAAACCAGTCCTTTATTGGGGGTGTCTTGCTAATTGCCTATAATTTCCACCTGTTGTCTATTCCATTTGCACAACAGCATGTGAAATTTATTGTCAATCAGTGTTGCTTCCTAAGTGGACAGTTTGATTTCACAGAAGTGTGATTGACTTGGAGTTACATTGTGTTGTTTAAGTGTTCCCTTTATTTTTTTGAGCAGTGTACATTTGACTGGTCATGCTTTTGGTCTATAGGCACATTTAAATAATTGAGTGGAATTAAATTGGCGCGTGTACAGTATATTCATTATGTAGGCTATCTTATTTATCACACGTACAGCATACAGATACAGAGTCTTTGAGCGGAAAATCTGTCAGAGCGCCAGAGTTGCATCTCAAACAGCAAATTCATAGGCAATGGAAGGCAGGCTTCATCAGTGCATCACACACCACTGCCTCCAGCAATGAGCTGGAGGCGGTATGCATTTTCAAAACATATACTTCATTATTTGAAACCTGAACATTTTACTACATATTATGAGGCATGTCTTACCTTGCTTCAAAGTAGGCCTAGCCAAAATCAGACCATATCTGTGGAGGCAATTATTTTATATCAACTTTCTTTCGTTGTCCAGTAGCCAAAGGCACAATCCTAGTCATATTAGCAACCCATGCTAATGGTTGCATATTACAGTCGTGGTCAAAAGTATTGAGAATGACACATACTAATTTTCACAAAGTCTGCTGCCTCAGTTTTGATGATGGCAATTTGCATATACTCCAGAATGTCATGAAGAGTGATCAGATGAATTGCAGTTAATTGCAAAGTCCCTCTTTGCCATGAAAATGAACTTAATCCCCAAAAAACAATTCCACTGCATTTCAGCCCTGCCACAAAAGGACCAGCTGCCATCATGTCAGTGATTCTCTCGTTAACACAGGTGAGAGTGTTGACGAGGACAAGGCTGGAGATCACTCTGTCATGCTGATTGAGTTAGAATAACAGACTGGAAGCTTTAAAAGGAGGGTGGTGCTTGAAATCATTGTTCTTCCTCTGTTAACCATGGTTACCTGCAAGGAAACACGTGCCGTCATCATTGCTTTGCACAAAAAGGGCTTCACAGGCAAGGATATTGCTGCTAGTAAGATTGCACCTAAATCAACCATTTATCGGATCATCAAGAACTTCAAGGAGAGAGGTTCAATTGTTGTGAAGAAGGCGTCAGGGCGCCCAAGAAAGTCCAGCAAGCGCCAGGACCGTCTCCTAAAGTTGGTTCAGCTGCGAGATCGGGGCACCACCAGTGCAGAGCTTGCTCAGGAATGGCAGCAGGCAGGTGTGAGTGCATCTGCACGCACAGTGAGGCGAAGCCTTTGGGAGGATGGCCTGGTGTCAAGAAGGGCAGCAAAGAAGCCACTTCTCTCCAGGAAAAACATCAGGGACAGACTGATATTCTGCAAAAGGTACAGGGATTGGACTGCTGAGGACTGGGGTAAAGTCATTTTCTCTGATGAATCCCCTTTCCGATTGTTTGGGGCATCCGGAAAACACGTTGTCCGGAGAAGACAAGGTGAGCCCTACCATCAGTCCTGTGTCATGCCAACAGTAAAGCATCCTGAGACCATTCATGTGTGGGGTTGCTTCTCAGCCAAGGGAGTGGGCTCACTCACAATTTTGCCTAAGAACACAGCCATGAATAAAAAATGGTACCAACACATCCTCCGAGAGCAACTTCTCCCAACTATCCAAGAACAGTTTGGTGACGACCAATGCCTTTTCCAGCATGATGGAGCACCTTGCCATAAGGCAAAAGTGATAACTAAGTGGCTCAGGGAACAAAACATCGAAAATGTTGGGTCCATGGCCAGGAAACTCCCCAGACCTTAATCCCATTGAGAACTTGTGGTCGATCCTCAAAAGGTGGGTGGACAAACAAAAACCCACAAGTTCTGACAAACTCCAAGCATTGATTATGCAAGAATGGGCTGCCATCAGTCAGGATGTGGCCCAGAAGTTAATAGACAGCATGCCAGGGCGGATTGCAGAGGTCTTGAAAAAGAAGGGTCAACACTGCAAATATTGACTCTTTGCATAAACTTAATGTAATTGTCAATAAAAGCCTCTGACACTTATGGAATTCTTGTAATTATACTTCAGTATACCATAGTAACACCTGACAAAAATATCTCATAACACTGAAGCAGCGAACTTTGTGAAGACCAATACTTGTCATTCTCAACTTTTGACCACGACTGTAGATTTCCCCTCTTTCTAAATTTCTAATGGATATTTTCATCTCTGTCACATGAAACCGCTCGCATGCTTTTAACAACAGTGTTTTCTCGCTAATTGTACTATGGAAAGAAAATTCACACATGTGCATTTCTACACTTATAATGTGAAGAAATAAGTTTATCAACATTTTAAGCTAAACATTCTGATCTGTTGCATCAGACTCATTGCTTTTTAACGTTTTCAATTTTTTGTATGTAGCCTAGGCCTACTGGTTGCATGCATTTGGGATCTTTCGTCCCACAACTGTCCCAGAGTTTGTTTGGAATAGGCTATTTCTTTCTTGACAAGCTGACCAATGGAATAGGTAAACGTTTCTACTATGGTGGATAGTAGATTGACATAGGCTAGTGATTTTGCTGTTCGTTACTTGTCTTGCTGGCTGAGGAAAAGTAAATGTGGACAGTTATTCTAACATCTTCAAAGTGTGCATCAGAATTTGGTAAGAAGGACCGCACATCGTTGCATCCTCAACTTGCATGTTCTGTTAATATGAATGACCATAATCTAAATGTGATTTCTGTCCTTCTGAGCACCATGAGTGGACGCCCTAATCAGGTTACGCACCCAATGCATATCCGGTAAATTTCTCAAACATTCAGTAAATTAACATGCTGCTAGTCAAATGTCCGGCGCCACATTTTCCTAACGGAAACCCTGACATGACCCTAAGCATGATGGGATGTTAATTGTTTAATTCACTCAGGAACCACACCTGTGGAAGCACCTGCTTTCAATATACAATATACACTGCTCAAAAAAATTAAGGGAACACTTAAACAACACAATGTAACTCCAAGTCAATCACACTTCTGTGAAATCAAACTGTCCACTTAGGAAGCAACACTGATTGACAATAAATGTCACATGTTGTTGTGCAAATGGAATAGACAACAGGTGGAAATTATAGGCAATTAGCAAGACACCCCCAATAAAGGACTGGTTTTGCAGGTGGTGACCACAGACCACTTCTCAGTTCCTATGCTTCCTGGCTGATGTTTTGGTCACTTTTGAATGCTGGTGGTGCTTTCACTCTAGTGGTAGCATGAGACTGAGTCTACAATCCACACAAGTGGCTCAGGTAGTGCAGCTCATCCAGGATGGCACATCAATGCGAGCTGTGGCAAGAAGGTTTGCTGTGTCTGTCAGCGTAGTGTCCAGAGCATGGAGGCGCTACCAGGAGACAGGCCAGTACATCAGGAGATGTGGAGGAGGCCGTGCAGGACGTTTGGAATTTGCCAGAGAACACCAAGATTGGCAAATTCGCCACTGGCGCCCATTGCTCTTCACAGATGAAAGCAGGTTCACACTGAGCACGTGACAGACGTGACAGAGTCTGGAGACGCCGTGGAGAACGTTCTGCTGCCTGCAACATCCTCCAGCATGACCGGTTTGGCGGTGGGTCAGTCATGGTGTGGGGTGGCATTTCTTTGGGGGGCCGCACAGCCCTCCATGTGCTCGCCAGAGGTAGCCTGACTGCCATTAGGTACCGAGATGAGATCCTCAGACCCCTTGTGAGACCATATGCTGGTGCGGTTGGCCCTGGGTTCCTCCTAATGCAAGACAATGCTAGACCTCATGTGGCTGGAGTGTGTCAGCAGTTCCTGCAAGAGGAAGGCATTGATGCTATGGACTGGCCCGCCCGTTCCCCAGACCTGAATCCAATTGAGCACATCTGGGACATCATGTCTCGCTCCATCCACCAACGCCACATTGCACCACAGACTGTCCAGGAGTTGGCGGATGCTTTAGTCCAGGTCTGGGAGGAGATCCCTCAGGAGACCATCCGCCACCTCATCAGGAGCATGCCCAGGCGTTGTAGGGAGGTCATACAGGCACGTGGAGGCCACACACACTACTGAGCCTCATTTTGACTTGTTTTAAGGACATTACATCAAAGTTGGATCAGCCTGTAGTGTGGTTTTCCACTTTAATTTTGAGGGTGACTCCAAATCCAGACCTCCATGGGTTGATACATTTGATTTCCATTGATAATTTTTGTGTGATTTTGTTTTCAGCACATTCAACTATGTAAAGAAAAAAGTATTTAATAAGATTATTTCATTCATTCAGATCTAGGATGTGTTATTTTAGTGTTCCCTTAATTTTTTTTGAGCAGTGTGTGTATGTGTGTATATATATATATATATATGTATATATATATATACAAAAGTATTTGGACACCCCTTCAAATTAGTGTATTCGGCTATTTCAGCCACACACGTTGCTGACAGGTGTATAAAATCAAGCACACAGCCATGCAATCTCCATAGACAAACATTGGCAGTAGAATGGCTTTACTCTAGCTCAGTGACTTTCAACGTGGCACCGTCATAGGATGCCACCTTTCCAACAAGTCAGTTCGTCACATTTCTGCCCTGCTAGAGCTTCCCCGGTCAGCTGTAAGTGCTGTTATTTTGAAGTGGAAATGTCTAGGAGCAACAACGGCTCAGCCGTGAAGTGGTAGGCCACACAAGCTCACAGAACGGGACCGCCAAGTGCTGAAGCGCGAAGCACGTAAAAATCGTCTGTCCTCGGTTGCAACACTACAGAGTTCCAAACTGCCTCTGGAAGCAACATCAGCACAATAACTGTTTGTCGGGAGCTTCATGAAATGGATTTCTATGGCCGAGCAGCCGCACACAAGCCTAAGATCAACATGCGCAATGCCAAGCATCGGCTGGAGTGGTGTAAAGCTCACCGCCATTGGACTCTGGAGCAGTGGAAACACGTTCTCTGGAGTGATGAATCAAGCTTCACCATCTGGCAGTCTGACAGACGAATCTGGGTTTGGCGGATGCCAGGAGAACGCTACCTGCCCGAATGCATAGTGCCAACTGTAAAGTTTGGTGGAGGAGGAATAATGGTCTGTTACAGCATACAATGACATTGTAGATGATTCTGTGCTTCCAACTTTGTGGCAACAGTTTAGGGAAGGCCCTTTCCTGTTTCAGCATGACAATGCCCCCGTGCACAAAGTGAGGTCCATACAGAAATGGTTTGTCGAGATCGGTGTGGAAGAACATGACTGGCCTGCACAGAGCCCTGACCTCAACCCCATCGAACACCTTTGGGATGAATTGGAACGCTGACTGCGAGCCAGGCCTAATCACCCAACATCAGTGCCCGACCTCACTAATGCTCTTGTGGCTGAATGGAAGCAAGTCCCCGCAGCAATGTTCCATCTAGTGGAAAGCCTACCCAGAAGAGTAAGCTGTTATAGCAGCAAAGGGGGTACCAACTCCATATTAATGCCAATGAGATGTTCGATGAGCAGGTGTCCACATACTTTTGGTCATGTAGTGTACTTTGTATCCCTCATTTACTCAAGTGTTTCCTTTATTTTGGCTTTATCCTTTATTTCATTTACTCAAGTGTAAACTTGAGTTCGGCCTACTTCAGCTTCTCTTCCATTCAAATGTGCAGTCACAACATTACAGACCATCAGATGTAAATGTGGACAACACATCTGACAGCTTTGCATATCAACATACTGAGACATGACACACTTTTTGTTATTATGCGTTAGTGGAGACATTTTTTGTTTAGTTCAGAGCAGTGGAGCCTGGTGTCACTGGTTCAGAGATATTAAGCGCTTTAAAAAGCAATAAATCCCTTTGAAAAGGGCGTATGTGGCATTGATTCGAGTCAAACAGTTATTCTAGTGTCCAAATAGACTACAAAGTGTAAATGGGATAATTTTGGTCATCCGTGCATCACAACGGGTAATGAAGGTTGGGTTTACATTTGATGTCCATTTGACCATGGGGTGAACTGGTGCAGTGATTGCTCTCTATCCAATAGCATAGACAGTGAGACAGACCTGCCCCGCAGCTCCGACTTTGTTTACATAAGACAAGTCATCATGCATATTTGAACTTGAGAAATACTGCACCAAGCACCTTAGTTAGATGTAGAATTGCGCAATCTTAGATTCATTCTGGGGATTTTGAGGAAGTGAAATAGGCTTCCGCGTCTAGTGTGTCTCATGGGGAACAAACATCATGAACCAAAAGCGGAATCGGTCAGGAAACACACTTCCAAGACTGAAATCTCGTTTTTCTAATGAGTAACAGAAAAATACACTTGCCAATCGGCGTGTTCATTGGCTCTTTTAATGATGAACAAGCTTTTTCATAAGCCAGGAGTCATATCATATTAGCAATGGCATCATTTGCAGGAATTTACTTTGAGTGAAACATTAACATGTAGGTATGGGGAGGGGCATTTAAAGATCCCGGGCTGGGTTTCCCAAAAGCATCGTAGCACTAAGATCATCTTAATTCCATTTAAACTATACTGAACAAAAAATATAAACGCAACATGTAAAGTGTTGGTCCCATTTTCATGAGTTGAAATAAGATCCCAGAAATGTTTCATATGCACAAAAAGCTAATTTATCTCAAATGTTGTGCACAAATTTGTTTACATCCCTGTTAGTCAGCATTTCTCCTTTGCCAAGATAATCCATCCTCCTGACAGGTGTGGCATATCAAGAAGCTGATTAAACAGCATGATCATTACACAGGTGCACCTTGTGCTGGGGACAATAAAAGGCCACTCTAAAATGTGCAGTTTTGTCACACAACACGATGCCACAGATGTCTCACATTTTGAGGGAGCGTGCAATTGGCATGCTGACTGCAGGAATGTCCACCAGAGCTGTTGCCAGATAATTGTATGCTAATTTCTCTACCATAAGCCGCCTCCAACATAGTTTTAGAGAATTTAGCAGTACGTCCAACCGGCCTCACAAGCGCAGACCACGTGTAACCACGCCAACCCTGGACCTCCACATCTGGCTTCTTCACCTGCGGGATCGTGCCCTCCCGGGCCTACCCATGGCTGCACCCCTGCCCAGTCATGTGAAATACAAATCGATTAGGGCCTAATGAATTTATTTCAATTGACTGATTTCCTTCTATGAACTGTAACTTGTTGCGTTTATATTTTTGTTCAGTATAAATGGACGAAAGATGATCTTAGTGCTACGATGCTTTTGAGAAACCCAGCCCTGGTTAAGTTACCGTGTGATTGGGCGTTTAGAATACTAAAATGAACATGAACCTTCTTATGATGGTATAAAGGTCAGCCATTTTGATCAGTGTTGATCAACCATACATTGCCAGTGCTGTGATAAGATATTGTGTAAAATAATGAATTTGAAGAATGTATGTTTGTTAGCTAGCTAGCCAGCTAGTTTTAGAGGAATGATTCCATTCAAATTAACTGCCAATATGCCAACATTCCATTCAAACAATGCAGTCAATCCACAGCCCCATACACTGGCTAAAATCAGTTAATGATAGGACTTGGACAAGTTGTAAATGCAACAAGTACTGCTTGTATCATATAGCACTCTCAGCTTTTCAAGAAAACAAAAATGGAGACTATTTATACAATTTTTGTTGTTGTTGTTGTATAAAACCTGTATAAACTGTAGGCCTATTTATAATTCTATTACAATATTTTAGGTTGACAATTCTATTGCACAATTTCTAATATCACATGCCTTACTTTAATTTTCCTGCTTAAGTAAAATCAGGATTATGCCTCCTGAGTGGCGCAGTGGTCTAAGGCACTGCATCGCAGTGCTAACTGCATCGCAGTGCTAACTGTGCTACTAGAGATCCTGGTTCGAATCCAGGCTCTGTCGCAGCCGGCCGCGACCGGGAGACTCATGGGTGGTGCACAATTGGCCCAGCGTCGTCCAGGGTAGGGGAGGGAATGGCCGGCAGGGATGTAGCTCAGTTGATAGAGCATGGCGTTTGCAACGCCAGGGTTGTGGGTTCGTTTCCCATGGGGGGCCAGTATAAAAAAATAAATAATGTATTCACTAACTGTAAGTCGCTCTGGATAAGAGCGTCTGCTAAATGACTAAAATGTAAATGTAAAATTCATTCTATTTAGACTGGTTTGGAATCCTCCCTGACCTATATGGCTGCCGTTTTTCACCCCATTTTGGAACTTTGAGGGTTTATTAATTACATTTAATATGATCAGGATTATGGGTTTCCTACTTTAAAAAAAAAAATGTGATCATTGGAGTCATAGGTCATCATGGGTCACAGTACTGCCCTGCTGTCATTGCACAGTAGGACAGAGGGGCCCTGGCCCCCCCAATATAGGTCTTCTTTACCACCTTTCTTGCATGAAATGACATTGTTTCAATCTGGTCTGTCAGCCAGGTCTCATTTATTTAGATATACTTCTATTACATTGCACTACAAATTAGATTTTCATTTATACGTTTTATGATTTAGCACAGGAAATTTGAGGTTTCCGACATGGAGTCCCACTATCAGTCAGTTTACATGACAGTTGATTTGTCACTCAACTGCTTTAACACCTTCTAGAGACAAAAATGGATACATGAATACAAATGTATTATTGATATAATATCTTTATTGTCCATTAAACAACAAAGATGATTCTATTTTGGTGTCACAATACCAGCACCCAACTGCCTGAGACACACACACACACACACACACACACACACACACACACACACACACACACACACGAGAGGCTGAACCCGTCACAGGGTCAGCTGCAGGGCATTGCCTGTGGAGAGGGTGTGATGCCAGCAACCCCCAAGTTATTTGATGTAAATGTATTTGCATTGTAGTGGTTACAAATAGTATTTCAGTGGGCTATGAACAGTCCGTTCTTAAACCTGTTTAGCATAAATATTTTGGGTTTTCAAGGGACCATATCCTACTCTCTGCCCTTGCCTTACTGTTCTCAATCAAAAGACTTAGCTGACAAAGAAGAAGAAAAGTCACAATTTTCCTACCTGGGATTTTACTAGCTGATAACAATGGCACAACATCACAATGGGCTAACACAAAGGGGGACTCTTTTTTTTCTAGTAATGAATTGAGGAGCCATTAAAGCCACACTGTACAGACCATCAATGAGTGGGCCCCCAACAAAAACATGAACAATAGTGCAAATACATCCCATCACATTTTCCAATGCAAATACATTTTTATGATTTATCTGTAGTGGTCAAGGAATAACATTCCATGAGATCAACATTACTTTTTACAAACATGATTTGAAGCTGTACATCATTTGGCTACAGAGTCAAAGGTAATTGTTTTTGGTAATTATTAGGTCGAACAAACCTAATCTCATCACACTGTACATCTCAGCCCAAGAAATACAATTTTGAAGCTGATTCAATGGTAGTGGTTAATCACATGCGTGCACTGTTCATACTTAATTAACTGGCAATAACACACGTATACATATGTTGACAAATTGACCTCATGGCTTATTACACTGACTTCCTATAACAGGTTTTGTTGATTATATTCATAGCTACCAGATGCCATATTGACTTATCAGTGCTGATTCAGTTCCCCTGTTATTCTATTTTCTAACAGCAGAAAAGGCCAGTGAGCAGGTAGAGGTTGAGATTGAGCCCATGGCTCCTCAGACACATTCTCCAGGTAACTCTCCCTCAGACTACATCACTGAGTCCTCCCCTCCTCTGGGAAGTGCTCCAGGAAAAACCAAGAGACCAGCAAACAGCTGCAGTGTCTCCAGGAAACCCTCTGTCGATACATCCCCTGTCAAACAACCCAACCCCCCCAAATCCAGCCCCTCTCCGACCCCTGAGGCCCCAAGCACCTCAGCCTCCAGACACCACGAAACAGGGGCCCTGAGGATCGGCAAGACGTCCTTCACCATCCCTAAGAAGCAGCCTCAACCCCTCGTGACTCCCACTCTACCCTCACCTTCACCCCCCACCCCAATGAATGAAACAAGGATCCTGCCCGTGTCCCCAGCCCCTATCGCCCCTTCCTCCAGACCCCCCCAGCCAGCCAACAACCAGGTCAGGCAGAGCATCCAACGCTCTCTCACCAACATCCTGATCAAGAGGTGAATATAAAGAAAGAGATGGCAAAATATAGAAAAGTACTCTCACACACACACAGGATCACATTGATTGACAAAGAAATGGTGGCTTAGTCTGAGATGACACCCTATTCCTTATAAAGTGCACTAGTTTTGACCAGAGCCCATAGTTCTCGTCAAAGGTAGTGCACTATATAGGGATAGGGTGCCATTTCGGACACACCCATTGCTTGAGCTCTCTTTTGAATGTAGGGCAAAAATGTTATTAAAAGATGACTAATTACATTTTGATTTTATAAGGGTGTGCGACTGTGACGATTTGGAGAGGTCTGAGAGAGAAGTGGCAAAGCTGGTCACCAACATCGAGACGGAGATGTTTAACATATTTAACAATACAGATAGCAAGTACATGAACAAGTACCGAACCATCATGTTCAACCTAAAAGACCCCAAAAATAAGGTTGGTCGATAGACAGCAAAAAAACATATGCTTTGTCATATGAAATAAATCTAAACTCCACATATACAATTCTCTGTTATACAGCATTTCATTGAAAAAGATATGAAAACAACTATTCAATGTAACAAATGTGCCCGCGTCCTTACAAAGTAGACTTCTAGTTCACCATGTGGTAGTATGCTTCATTGATTGTCTCTTATTTGGGTGGGTCTCCAGGGTTTGTTCTACAGCGTCATCCGTGGTGAGGTCAGTCCCTTCAGACTGGCCAGGATGAGCCAGCGGGACATGCAGGCCACAAAGGTCTCAGAGGCGAGCAAAAAAGACACTCCAGAGGTACAGTATAATATAGCCTATGCAGAAACCTAATCTAAGCCAAAAGCGTATAATAATAATAATAATAATAATAATAATAATAATAATAATAAACTAAAGAAGACCATTTGAATTTTAATGTAATGTGCACAAGTACAATGAAATACAAAAAATAACATACAAAATTCACCATCATTCTTCACTGAGAACTGTATCCATAACTTTACCAGTTGATTGAGGTGTTGTCTGTGTGTCTTGCCGGTCCAGGAGTCTGGTCCCAAAGCCCCATGTGTGCTGCCAAATCCAGCGCCTGAGCCAGTGAAGGTTGATCTACCTAGTATTCCTTTTAGGCCCAATAGACACATGGTATGTACAACATGTATTGTCTACTCATACTGATGCAATAAAACATCTAGGAAATGATATCTCCCTCAATAGGTGATCAGTTCATCTTCCAATGTAGCATACCTTTTATTAGATGAGCATTTCGGTGTGTCTGTATCTATGAGTGTGCATCTAAGTGTAACGTTTTAAATAAATGTGTGACAATCCTATTTTCTCAGGAACAGAAGAGCACTCTCCCTGCTGCCCCTAAGGCCAGACCTAGCCAGTCGAACCAGAACAGCTCAGTCCCAGACATCCTCAGCTGCATGCTGAAAGACACAACTGCCGAGCACAGAGCTCACCTGTTTGACCTCAAGTGCAAGATCTGCACAGGTAAATAAAAAAAGATAAAGTAAAATTACAGTGTACACATTACAACAACATCCAACAAACACCATAATATCATGTTCGCCTTCTGCACTGTGTCAAACTATGTTAGTGAAGGGCAACAGGGTCGGCAACAGTGTTGATTTCAACTCCCAACGTCAAATGAATGATTTACTGCACTTCTATGGTGTCGAGCGTAATGATGCTGCTAACAGATGTTTTGTGTGGGTTGGTGTCTGTTTCTGCCCTTCAGGTCAGATAGCAGTCGAGGGTGAGGAGGAGCCTGTTCCCAAGAAGTCTAAACTCTCTGGGTCATCGTCATCCTCCACCAACCCAGACGAATGGAAAGACAGGCCATCTCGGCCACCCTGGATGTATGCCAGAACAGATCCCAGAACAGAGGAGAGAGGATGGAGAACTCCAGCAGGAGATGAATCACCCCTCCTTGCACCCCCTGACTCCCCCACCATGGATTCCCCTGCTTCCCCCCTAATGGAGGACGATTCTGTCTTAACCATCATGGAATCTCCCGCTTCACCCACAATGGAATCTCCCGCTTCTCCACCAATGGAATCTCCCGCCTCCCCCATTTTGGAATCCCCTGCCTCCCCTGTCATGGATTCTCCCGCCTCCCCCATTCTGGAAAACCGCAAAGCCAAGACACCGTCCAGAATGTATACCCCAGTCATGATCCCGGCTGTTTCTACGGTAACCATCACAAGGCGTGATCCCCGCACTGCTGGCAACCGTTCTGCTGCTATGTCTGGTGACCCCCACACCGCTGGCAACCGCACTCCTGCAATGGCAACTGTCGCCATGTCTACAGTCCCACCTCCGCCAGTCTCTTATGTCCCTGCGAAACTGAGCAAGCCATTCATGCCCTTGCCACCACCCCAATCCCTGCCACCAACGCCAGCATTACCCAAATCTATCCTGATGAAGCCATCTTCCTCATCGTTCTATGGTTCTTCAGGATCCTCTGCATCCTCTTCAAGGTATCTCCTCTCAGCTTGCCACCATCACTACAAGTGATCCTTGATAAGAAAGTGTTTTACGATAATTAGTGCATGTTCATTTCAGTCAGAATATAAATTATGTTTCCTCCTCTGTGCATGATTTACAGCTGAGTGAATGGGCAGTAATTGACTCTAATTGTGATGTTGTGTTTGCAGGGCTGTGAACTCCCACTCCCCTCAAGATGGGGAGACGACCCAGTTCCTGGCCAAGCAGGAAGTAGTGTGGAAGGGCTTCCTCAACATGATCAGCGTGGCCAAGTTCGTCACCAAGGGCTATCTGGTCTCCGGGCCTTCCGAATATCTCAAAGAGGTAACGAATATAACACATAATTATGCTACCGTGACTGCAAGAGAAAAATAGGAGAGCATTGTCAGATATCTTTAGATTAGTTTATTTATGAACATTTTAAGACAATACCTCTCATAAACAACATAGCAGTTTTGTCTATATGGATATTAACAAAACATGTATTTTGTTTAGGATCTGCCTGATACCATACAGCTTGGTGGAAGAATCATGCCTCAAACTGTGTGGGATTACATCGGGAGAGTGAAGACCTCTGTTACAAAGGCAAGCCCTCCCTCTGTCATTATGAAAGAAACTATAAAATGTAGATAGGGTCTGTGTATGTCTTTCTGTCTCAATGATAAGAGATTATTATTGGCCCACAGGAGCTGTGTGTGATCCGGTTCCACCCAGCGACAGAGGAGGAGGAGGTGGCCTATGTGTCTCTGTTCTCCTACTTCAGCAGCAGACGGCGCTTCGGGGTGGTGGCCAACAACAGCCGCAGCATTAAGGACATCTACCTCATCCCACTCAGCGCAAAGGAGTCCATTCCATCCAAACTTCAACCCTTCGAAGGATCAGGTAAGAAAATGCTGTCATTTAGGCCAACATGTAGAAGGCTACACAGATGGTGCACTGACATTTGAATGCGGGTATATATTTTTAGATGCTAATGAATCATTAGCATTATTTTTTGTAAACATTCAAAACTAATCTCCCTACTCCTTCTTTATTTAACAGGCTTTGAGAAGAATCGCCCCAATCTTCTTCTGGGACTGGTTATTTGCCAGAAACCCAAACGTGCGGGAAGCTTGCCACAAGAGGTTGAAGAGAAGAGAGCCAAGATCCACATGCCCAAAGACTCCAGAGATACTGGCCTCCCGAGACTCCCTACGCTGTATGGGTCTGACCCTAGGACGGAGGAATTCCTGCCATACGACCCAGCGATGCCCATCATGTCCACCCCTCCTGGTTCCCCTCCTTCCACTGGATCCCCGTCAGACTCCTCCTCCTCGGGCTCACTGACTATTCCATCACTTCTGTCCTCCGTTAGAGCTGCTCTCCCTGCTTCTGCCCCTCCCCCGACCACTAGCATGTCCACCACTCCCCTGCAGACCATCCTGAAGTCACTGTTTGGGAAGGACTCTCCTGGAGTCCCAGCAGTTGCAGCAGTGCCCCCTCCAACCACTTTGCCCCCTCCCCCAATGGTGGATCCGATAGTCCAGCAGTACGGGCAGAAATCCAAAGTCAAAGAGATTGAGGAGGAGGAAAATGAATATGATCGACCATACGACCCGGAGGAGGAGTATGATCCAGCAATGGGCTATGGACGGGTTGCACCAATTAATATAGATAAAATGTTTGAGGAGAATGCTGCTGCTCAGGCCACGTGTGCCGATGATGACGACGTGGCTTACGACCCTGAGGATGAGACTATCTTTGAGGATATGCACAATGATGGGGTCAGTGTAGAGAAAGTCCCAGCTCCAACTTCAGCTCCAGCTCCTACCCCAGTCCCAGCTCCAGCTCCTACCCCAGTCCCAGCTCCAGCTCCTACCCCAGTCCCAGCTCCCAGTCCAGCCCCAGCTCCCAGTCCAGCCCCAGCCCCTCTGAGCCGGACCATTACCGGTGCTGTGATTGTGTCAGCCGCTACTCTGACTGAACAACAGCGAATGCTTGAGGATCTCAACAGGCAGATTGAGGAGCAGAAACGGCAGCTGAAGGAGCAGGAGGAGGCACTGCGTCAGCAGAGAGAGGCAGTGGGCATGTTCATGGCCCACTTCTCTGTTTCCGATGCCTTGATGTCTCCCCCTACCAAATCTGGGCTGTCTCAGTTACAAACACCGCAGAGTGAAGGAGAGCAGTCTGAGGCAAATCCTTCAGTCAATCAAAGAGCTTTAAAAGGTTTCTTGAAAACGGAGGAAACAGAAGTACCAATAAAACAAGAGATTAAGAGCGAGACCAAGACTGTACCTCTTTCAGTGTCAAGAAATGTGGAAATGCCCAATGCATCACCAAAGCGGGTCAAAGAGATTAAAAAAGAAAATATTCAGGCAACAGACAATTCAGATCCTGAAGCTGGTGAGATCCAGGACTCTGATGTAGCTTACGACCCAGAGGATGACACTATATTTGATGAGCTGAAAGACACAAATGGAGAAGAAAAAGAGAAAGCCTCAACTCGATCAGATTCAGCAAGGCGTTCTGAGCGGTCTCGTGACTCCTCAGTGTCTAGCTCGTGTCGTGGTGCATCGCGCAATGACACTCCTGATAGGAGGCGTAAGCGTAGCAGCCAACCAGATACTCACTCACCAAAAAGACGGGACCGTAAAGTCAGGGACCGCCACGAAAGCCCTCCTCGTAGATCTGGCCACCGGTCCCCTGGACACTCCGATAGGCGAAGGGAACGACACAGACGGGGTGAGAGGAGCCGACCATATCACAGAGGTCGTCACCACTCTGAGCGCCCAGGCCGCCATCTCCCTCATAAAGAGCGTACTTCTCGACGCAGCTCTGGTAGCCATAGAAGATCCCCATCTTCACCAAGACAAAAACGAGATTCTGGCTCTAGGGGACTCTCAAAGGGTCAAAGGGAGTCTTCTCCTCCTCAAGTGTGGGATGACTCAAAGAGCCCAGAGGCTCCTGAAGACATGGGTCCTACAAGTCCAGCTCCAGCACTGGTCATGGAGGCTAATGACTCACCTCAGCCCCCTCTTGATAGACAGGACATTGATGAACCACTGTGTGATCGTTCTAATTCTGGAGGTCCACCACAGGGAGAGATTGAGGACACAGGCCATCAAATGCCCCATGAGAATCCCACTCCCCAGAAGCCTGCGGAACAACAACCTCCTCAAAGCTTGCTGGGATCACCACAAAGAGGGCCCAACAACCAGCAAGGCCCCAACATCCAGCGTCAAGACAATAGGGATAGGCCCTCTCAACGGGAACTACTAGAGCAACGCAGTGTACAGAGCCCATCAGACATTATGAGAGAAAAACAGTTTTCCTCACAAGGTCCTCCCCACATGGCCTCTCCAAATAACCAGGGTGAGCGGTCCAGCAGTTTAGAGAGGAAAGATCCTGATATTAGGGAGGGAAGGAGAAACCAAGGGCCAGATATGATGGGACCAGGGCCAGACATGAGGGGTGAAAGGAGAGGGCCGCAAATGAGGCATCTAAGTCCCAATATCAGAGGTCCAGAACCAGACATGAGAAGTCCAGATATGAGAGAGGACCACTTCTCACCAACAACTAACTTTGGAGGAAAGAGATCACCATCGCCCCATTTTAATAGTCCAAGGATCCCCTTATCCGTTCCAAGAGGAAATTTGAAGGATCAACAGGGATCACATCGTCCTGGTTTCCGCCCCAGGGGTCCTCGTACCTCGAGGTGGGTGCCACCACGGTCCCGGTTTGATGGTCCACATAATCAGCTAGTAGTAAGACCTCTAGAGCTGCTAGGAACACAAAGAGGCACCAACCAGCATCATGACAATGGAGGTGAGCCTATTCAACCAGAAATAAAGGACCAACACATTGTACGGAGCCCATCAGACATTATGAGAGAGAACCAGTTTTCCTCACAAGGTCCTCCCCACATGGCCTCTCCAAGCAACCAGGGTGAGCGGTCCAGCAGTTTAGAGAGGAGAGATCCCGATATGAGGGAGGGAAGAAGACAGCAAGGCCCAGACATCAGAAGTCCAGATATGATAGAACCTGGGCCAGACATGAGGGGTCCAAGGCCAGACATGTGGGATGATAGAAGGGGTCCAGGGTCAGACATGAGGGGTCCAGGGCCAGACATGTGGGATGATAGAAGGGGTCCAGGGTCAGACATGCGAGGTCCAGGGCCAGACATGCGAGGTCCAGGGCCAGACATGAGGGGTCCAGGGCCAGACATGCGAGGTCCAGGTCCAGACATGCGAGGTCTAGGGCCAGACATGCGGGGTCCTAGGCCAGACATGAGGGGTCCAGGGCCAGACATGAGGGGTCCAGGGCCAGACATGAGGGGTCCAGGGTCAGACATGAGGGGTCCAGGGTCAGACATGAGGGGTCCAGGGTCAGACATGAGGGGTCCAGGGTCAGACATGAGGGGTCCAGGGTCAGAAATGAGGGGTCCAGGGTCAGACATGAGAGGTCCAGAGCCCGACATCAGGGGTGATAGGAGAGGGCCAGACATGTGGGATGATAGAAGAGGTACAGGACCAGACATGACAGATCCCGATATGAAGGATCCAGGACCTGAAATTAGGAATCCAAACATGAGGAGTTCAGGCCCAGACATGAGAGATACAGAAATGCCAGGCCCAGATCCAGATATGAGAAGTCCAGACATGAGAGTGGACCACTTCACACCAACAGCTAACTTTGGAGGACAGAGACCACTATCGACTCATTTCAGCAGTCCAAGGATGTCCTCACCTGTTCAAAGAGGACATTTTGAGGATCAAAGGGGAGCACATTGTCCTGGTTTCCGCCCCAGGGGTCCTCGTCCCTCGAGGTTCAACCAGCCCAGGGGCTCATATCCAGGGCACTTCCCAGGGGGGCAACCACGGTTCCGTTTCGATGGTCCACAGGCAGTGGTAAGACCTGCTCATGCCTCGCTGGTAAGACCTGCTCATGCCTCGCTGGTAACACCAAGGGAGCACAGTATACAGAGCCCATCAGAAATTCTGATAGAAACCCAGATACCCTCACAAGGTCCTCCCCACATGGCCTCTCCAAACAACAAGGGGGAACGGTCCAGCAGTTTAGAGAGGAAAGATCCTGATATTGGGGAGGAAAGGAGAAACCCAGGGTCAGACATCAGAGGTCCAGATATGATGAGACCAGGGCCAGACATGAGGGGTGATAGGAGAGGGCCAGGGCCAGAAATGAGGGGTGATAGGAGAAGGCCAGGGCCAGACATGAGGGGTGATAGGAGAGGGCCAGACATGAGAGGTCCAGGGCCAGACATGAGAGGTCCAGGGCCAGACATGAGAGGTCCAGGGCCAGACATGAGAGATCCAGGGCCAGACATCAGAGGGCCAGGTCTAGGGCCAGACATGAGGGGTGATAGGAGAGGGCCAGACATGAGAGGTCCAGGGCCAGACATGAGAGGTCCAGGGCCAGACATGAGAGATCCAGGGCCAGACATCAGAGGGCCAGGTCTAGGGCCAGACACAAGGGGTGATAGGAGAGGTCCAGGGCCAGACATGAGAGATCCAGGGCCAGACATCAGAGGGCCAGGTCTAGGGCCAGACACAAGGGGTGATGGGAGAGGGCCAGACATGAGAGATCCAGGGCCAGACATCAGAGGGCCAGGTCTAGGGCTAGACACAAGGGGTGATAGGAGAGGGCCAGGGCCAGACATGAGGGGTGAAAGGAGAGGACCAGGGCCAGACATGAGGGGTGATGAGAGAGGGCCAGGGCCAAACATGAGGGGTGAAAGGAGAGGTCCAGGGCCAGACATGAGGGGTGATGGGAGAGGGCCAGACATGAGGGGTCCAGGGCCAGACATGAGAGGTCCAGGGCCAGACATGAGAGATCCAGGGCCAGACATCAGAGGGCCAGGTCTAGGGCCAGACACAAGGGGTGATAGGAGAGGTCCAGGGCCAGACATGAGGGGTCCAGGGCCAGACATGAGGGGTGATAGGAGAGGGCCAGGGCCAAACATGAGGGGTGATAGGAGAGGGCCATACATGAGAGATCCAGGTTCAGACATGAGAGATCCAGGGCCAGGTCTAGGGCCAGACACAAGGGGTGATAGGAGAGGGCCAGACATGAGAGATCCAGGGCCAGACATCAGAGGTCCAGGTCTAGGGCCAGACATGAGGGGTGATAGGAGAGGGCCAGGGCCAGACATGAGGGGTGATAGGAGAGGTCCAGGGCCTGACATGAGGGGTGATAGGAGAGGGCCAGGGCCAAACATGAGGGGTGATAGGAGAGGGCCCGACATGAGAAATCCAGGGCCCGACATGAGAGATCCAGGGCCAGACATGAGAGATCCAGGGCCAGACATTAAAGGGCCAGGTCTAGGGCCAGACACAAGGGGTGATAGGAGAGGGCCAGACATGAGAGATCCTGGGCCAGACATGAGAGATCCTGGGCCAGACATGAGAGATCCAGGGCCAGACATGAGAGATCCTGGGCCAGACATGAGAGATCCTGGGCCAGACATGAGAGGGCCAGGTCTAGGGCCAGACATGAGGGGTCCAGGTCCAGACATGAGGGGTCCAGGGCCAGACATGAGGGGTCCAGGGCCAGACATGAGAGGTCCAGGGCCAGACATGAGAGATCCAGGGCCAGACATGAGAGATCCAGGGCCAGACATGAGAGATCCAGGGCCAGACATCAGAGAGCCAGGTCTAGGGCCAGACACGAGGGGTGATAGGAGAGGTCCAGGGCCAGACATTAGGGGTCCAGGGCCAGGCAGAGTGCCAGGTCTAGGGTCAGACACAAGGGGTGATGGGAGAGGGCCAGGGCCAGACATGAGGGTTCCAGAGCCAGACACAAGGGGTGACAGGAGATGGCCAGGGCCAGACTTGAGGGGTCCTGGGCCAGACATCAGAGGGCCAGGTCTAGGGCCAGACACAAGGGGTAATAGGAGAGGGCCAGACATCAGATGTCCTGGGACAGACATGAGGGGTGATCGGAGAGGTCCAGGGCCAGACATGAGAGATCCAGGGCCAGACATGAGAGATCCAGGGCCAGACATGCGGGGTCCAGGGCCAGACATACGGGGTCCCGGGCCAGACACGAGGGGTGATAGGAGAGGTCCAGGGACAGACATGAGAGTTCCAGGGCCAGACACGAGAACTCCAGAGCCAGACATCAGAGGGCCAGGTCTAGGGCCAGACACAAGGGGTTATAGGAGAGGGCCAGGGCCAGACATGAGGGGTCCAGAGCCAGACATGAGGGGTGATAGGAGAGGACCAGGGCCAGACATGAGGGGTACAGAGCCAGACATCAGAGGGCCAGGTCTAGGGCCAGACACAAGGGGTTATAGGAGAGGGCCAGGGCCAGACATGAGGGGTCTAGGGCCAGACATGAGAGGGCCAGGGCCTGAAACAAGGGTTGATAGGAGAGGGCCAGGGCCAGACATGAGGGGTAATATGAGAGGGCCAGGTCCAGAGCCAGACATGAGGGGTCCAGGGCCAGACATGAGGGTTCCAGGGCCAGACATGAGAGGGCCAGGGCCTGAAACAAGGGTTGATAGGAGAGGGCCAGGGCCAGACATGAGGGGTCCAGGACCAGACACGAGAGATCAAGAGCCAGATATCAGAGGACCAGGTCTAGGGCCAGACACAAGGGGTGATAGAAGAGGGCCAGGGCCAAACATGAGGGTTCCAGGGCCAGACATGAGAGGGACAGGGCCAGAAATAAGGGGTGATAGGAGAGGGCCAGGGCCAGACTTGTGGGGTCTAGGGCCAGACATGAGAGGGCCAGACACAAGGGTTGATAGGAGAGGGCCAGACATGAGGGGTCCAGGACCAGACACGAGAGATCAAGAGCCAGACAGAGGGCCAGACACAAGGGGTCATAGGAGAGGGCCAGGGCCAGACTTGAGGGGTCTAGGGCCAGATATGAGAGGGCCAGACACAATGGGTGATAGGAGCGGGACAGGGCCAGACATGAGAGATCCAGGGCCAGACATCAGATGTCCAGGTCTAGGGCCAGACATAAGAGGTGATAGGAGAGGGCCAAACATGAGAGATCCAGGTCCAGACAAGAGGGGGGTTAGGAGAGGGTCAGGGCCAGAAATGGGTGGTCCAGGGCCAGAAACAAGGGTTGATAGGAGAGGGCCAGGGCCAGACATGAGAGATCAAGAGCCAGACATCAGAGGGCCAGGTCTTGGGCCAGACACAAGGGGTGATAGGAGAGATCCAGACCCAGACATCAGATGGCCAGGTCTAGGGCCAGACACAATGGATGATAGGAGAGGGCCAAACATGAGAGATCCAGCGCCAGACAAGAGGGGTGATAGGAGAGGGCCAGATATGTGGGATGATAGGAGTGGGTCTTCACCAAACATGAGGGGTCCAGTGCCGGACATGAGCGGTGCAGGACCAGACATGTGGGATGAGAGTAGAGGGCCAGACATGAGAGGTCCAGGGCCAGACACGAGAGGTGATGGGAGATGGCCAGGGCCAGACATGAGAGGTCCAGGGCCAGACACAAGGGGTGATAGGAGATGGTCAGGGCCAGACATGAGAGATCCAGGGCCAGACATGAGGGGGGATAGGAGAGTGCCAGGGCCAGACATGTGGGATGATAGGAGAGGGTCAGAGATTAGTGTTGATAGGAGAGGCCCAGGGCCAGACATGTTGGGTGTAAGGAGAGGGCCAAACATGAGAGATCCAGGGCCTGACATGAGGCGTCCAGGGCCAGACAGGGGTCAAGAAATGCGAGTCCCAGATCCAGACATGAGAAGTCCAGATATAAGAGGAGATCACTTCACAACAACAAATAATACTTTTGGAGGATCAAGGGGAGTAGAAAGTCCTGGTTTCCATGGTCCCAGGGGTCCTCGCTCCTCGAGGTTCAACCAGCCCAGAGGCTCATCTCGAGGGTATTTCCCAGACAATGGGGGGCAGCCACGGTTTGACGGTCCACGGCCAGTGGTAAGACCGTTGAGGCCTAAAGGAGGTTTACTCCCAACTCCCCCGGAGGGTCTCATTAGTTTGCCGAACAACAGCCCGGATGTTTTTAGAGAAGACCAGTGGCGGAGTAGTCACTCGCCTGATACGAGGAGAACAAGCCTACCCATAGAGGACTGTGAAATGAGAAACTATGGAGACAGAGAAAACAACTCTGAGGAGCGTGGCCGTGGTGGTAACCCCCGAGACAGGGGGAACTTCCAGGGCACATCGCCCTGCTTGTCCCAGGAGAGGCAGTTGCCTGAGGACAATGGGAGAGAGCGGGTTGGCAGTCATGGAAGACAGTGGGGCAGGGGGACAGGTAGGCCTGTGAGTAGGGAGAGAGAAAGGGTTAGAGGGAGAAAAGTAGACAGGCCCAGAGAGGAGGTAGATGAAAAGCAAAAGACACCCACAGAAAAGGACAGAGACATTGGCAGAGCCACAAGCAGGGAAGGAGAGGCAAACAGAGGAGGTGTTAGTCTGCACAACCGTTCACTCTCAAAAGACAGTGACAGAGACAGTTTAAAGGATGGAAGTGGAAAGAAAGAAGAACAAATGGAGGGAAAGGGTAAAAAGGTTGAATCAACAGACCCCCCCCAGACAGACACCCCCCAGACAGACACGCCCCAGGAGAGCAAAGGGCCTGTTTAACTGGAGACTACTGTTAACAGAAATGCATGGACTAAGTTTGAAGTTGGTTCAGTTCATAATGTACTAAGTAGTCGTTTTCTCTACATCATAAAACACCCATAACCTTTTGAATGTCCCCGGGACCACCCATACGTAAAAATGTATGCACATATGACTGTAAGTCGCTTTGGATAAAAGCGTCTGCTAAATGGCATATTATTATTATTATTATTATTCAATTTACAGTTTTAAAATGGTACAAATTACGTGCGTTTCAGAATTTCCAGATTAAAACTCATGTCAAGTCAAACATAATAGATATGTACATTGTGTTTATGGATTTATGTTTATTTTTATAAGTCCAAACCTATTGAGCCATACTGCTGTCATCTGTTCACTGATTAGAAAGCCTTCATGTTGGATCATCTCATGATGATATGTTTTAGAATAAATGAACTTGATTTATTATTATTATTATTTTTTTTTACTCTGTTTTAATTTGTTGAACTGAGGCCAATAAAAACAGTAAAGGAATGATCATACTTGCATTTAATTTGAACCACAATCAATTATCAGCTTTGTCTGATTGCAATTTTGCCTAATAATTTAAGTATGCATACGTTTGAGTTTTGCTTGCAATGTAAGTTAATTGAATTGAATAATTATTGTGTAGCCTATGCATAATCAAAAGGTCCTGCCATATTATCTTTGGTCAAGCCTTGGGGCATTATTAACCTAAACTCAGGCCCACAGTGAAAGCACTTTCTCATTTATGAGTTTATCCACTCAGCTTTGTGCTGTAGTTCAATACCAACTCTTGCTCCTGTGGTTGATGCTTTGGGGGCCTTTGCGTCCCATTAAAAAATTACATGAAATTACACATTATACATGTGCCCCAATAACTACGGTAAACTACATAACTATCATCAGCTGCTACATACAGTGCCTTCGGAAAAAGTATTCAGACCCATTTACTTTTTCCACATTTTGTTATGTTACAGCCTTATTCTAAAATTGATAAAATAGTTTTTTCCCCTCATCAGTCTACACACAATAACCCATAATGACAACGGTTTATACTGTACATGTATCAGTCCCTGAAAAAACACTCAGATCCATATAGGGTCCATGTATCTGCCCAACCAAAAGGCCTATTGCACCTGTTAAAAGCAGTCAGAGCTCGCCATCTTGGAGTCCTAAAAACCTGAAATTAGTTACCTCTGGTTTGTTCAGCCATTCCTATGGGGGAAATGAATGGGGAAAGAATCAAGTTTTTGGGATAAATGCCGAAAACAAGGTTCACACAGGCGTAGGAGATCTTATACGTTTTGTTCTATGAGATAATATCAGTCAGTTAACATGACCTTTATGAATTATGAAGCCTTTAAGTGCTTTTTTTAATTACATAAACGCTTCAAAATTCACAGTGTTAGCTGATTAAGATTATCTCATAGAACAAAACATATAAGATCTATCTCCTAAGCCTGTGTTTACCACACACCTTACTTTCGCCATTTATTCAAAAATCATACAATGGCTAACGAGCAATGACATTACTATTGCTCTCTATTGGTTAAAAGCATAGAGTGAAATAGTAATGGCGTCTTTTTGTCGGCGCTAACTCCGCCATGGTTCCACCCTATTCTTTCCCTATTAATATTCCCCATAGAGCGGTCAAACAGTGAACTGGTTCCAATTGTTTTTCCACCATTCATTTTTCCCATAGGGAATTTCAGAAACACTTCAAATAAGGGCTGTGTTTTGTGTAGGCTTACACTGGCGTGACGTTTTGATTAACCATGTAAATCTTTCTCGGACAAGGTGACTAATCAATATATTCGGCTATTTACTCTCAGATTCGAAAATGCTAATTAGCATCAAAGTAGACATCATGCAAGACTTCAAATCCCTGCAAGCTCCTGCACGTCATCTCTAGCTTGGCACCTTTGCTAACAGGTATTGTGTCAATTTAAACTTGCACAAGACAGTTCACAGAATTGTCAATTTAAAGAAATGTAGCCCATTTATTCATTACTGAATTTAGCTAACATTAGATAGTTAATCCAGAGATTCTTACCTTTGCCTCAATTCGGCAGTCTCGTCCAGATCATCATGGCATTTGTAGTTCTTTATGATCGCCACGTTAGCAGATAATTAGCATGTCATTTTTGGGGGGTAAATACAGGTGAATATATTGATAAAACTCACCTTGTCCTAGAAAGATTTACACGGTTATCAAAATGTCACGCCAGGGTAAGCCTACACGAAACACAGCCCTTATTCTAAGTGTTTCTAAAATCCCCTATGGGAAAAATAAATGGTGGAAAAACTATTGGAACCATTTCCTTGTTTGACCACTAGGTTTTATTGGTATTATGACTCATACTTTGGTACTCTTGCAGCGTTCAAAACAACTGGGAACTGGGAACTGGGAAATCTCCAACTTCAGTGAATTCAAAACAACTGGGAACTCAGGAAAAAAATAACAAGCTCCGACTGGGGGAAAAAATGATTTAAACGGTCATCCAACTCGGCATTCCAACTCGGGTACTCAGGCCTCTTTCTAGAGCTCCGACTTTCCGACCTGAAGATTCACTGACGTCATGATTTGTCCTAATTTTTCCGAGTTCCCAGTTGTTTTGAACACGGCATCTATAGGGATGGCTGAACCAGAGGTAACTCATTTCTGGGTTTTAGGACTACAACAAAGATGTTCTCATTGTTCTATCTGTGACTACAAGCTGGCGAGCTTTATGTCGAACGATGGTGTTTAGATGGCATATAGATGTGGCTAGATGGTATACACCTACGGACGGAAGTGCTTAATTTCTTTTGTCATTTTGGGGAGAATTGTAGCATTTTAACCAACCCTACCCAAACCATTTTCCTAACCATAACCAAATTCTCCTAACCTACTACGTTAATTATCCTAACCTGCTGCGTAAGTTCTTCTAACCGAAAAGTCCATTCTGTCCGTAGCTGTATACCATCTAGTCCTAACCGGTTAAAAGCCCTGGTTGAACCACAGATAGAACTACGTTAGGTTAGGTTGAACAGGTGGATTGGAAAGCTGAGTTATTTCGTTCTAGAGGTAATTGTCACATAAGCAAATACACTGAACAAAAATATAAATTGACAATTTCTAAGATTTTACTGAATTACAGTTCATATAAGGAAATCAGTCAATTGAAATAAATTCATTAGGCCCTAATCTATGGATTTCACATGACTGGGCATACAGATATACATCTGTTGGTCACAAATACTTTTTTTTTTAAAGGTAGGGGCGTGGATCAGAAAACCAGTCAGTATCTAGTGTGACCACCATTTATTTACCTCATGCAGTGCGACACATCTCCTTCGCATAGAGTTGATCAGGCTGTTAATTGTGGTCTGTGGAATGTTGTCCCACTCTTCAATGGCTGTGCGAAGTTGCTGGATATTGGCGGGAACTGGAACACACTGTCGTACACGTCGATCCAGAGCATCCCAAACGTGATCAATGGGTGACATGTCTGGTGAGTATGCAGACCATGGAAGAACTGGGACATTTTCAGCTTCCAGGAATTGTGTACAGGTCCTTGCGACATGGGGCCATGCATTATCATGCTAAAATATGAGGTGATGGCGGCAGACGAATGGCATGACAATGGGCCTCAGGATCTCCTCACGGTATTTCTGTGCATTCCAAATTGCCATCGATAAAATGCAATTGTGTTCGTTGTTCGTAGCTTATGCCTGCCTATATCATAACCCAACTCCGCCACCACCATGGGGCACTCTGTTCACAACGTTGACATCAGCAAACCGGTCGCCCAAACGATCTGCCATCTGCCTGGTACAGTTGAAACTATACTTTTCCAGCGTGCCAGTGGCCAACGAAGGTTAGCATTTGCCCACTGAACTCGGTTACGACGCCAAATTGCAGTCCGGTCAAGACCCTGGTGTTTCCCTGAGACTGTTTCTGAGAGTTTGTGCAGAAATTATTTGGTTGTGCAAACCCACAGTTTCATAATCTGCACGGGTGGCTGGTCCCAGACCATCCCGCAAGTGAAGAAGCCTGATGTGGAGGTCCTGGGCTGGCGTGGTTACACGTGGTCTGCGGTTGTGAGGCCGGTTGGACGTACTGCTAAATTCTCAAAAATGAAGTTGGAGGCGGCTTATGGTAGAGAAATTAACATTAAATTCTCTGGCAACAGCTCTGGTGGACATTCCTGCAGTCAGCATGCCAATTGCACGCTCCCTCAAAACGTGATACATCTGTGGCATTGTGTTGTGTAACAGAACTGCACATTTTAGAGTGGCCTTTTATTGTCCCCAGCACAAGGTGCACCTGTGTAATTATCATTACATTTTAGTCATTTAGCAGACGCTTTTATCCAGAGCAACTTACAGTTAGTGAGTGCATACATTTTTCATACTGGCCCCCCGTAAGAAAACGAACCCACAACCCTGGCGTTGCAAGTGCCATGCTCTACCAACTGAGCTGTTTAATCAGCTTCTTGATATGCCACACCTGTCAGGTGGATGGATTATCTTGGCAAATGAGAAATGCTCACTAACAGGGATGTAAACAAATTTGTGCACAGAATTTGAGAGAAATATGCTTTTTGTGAGTATGGAAAATGTCTGGGCTCTTTTATTTCAGCTCATGAAACATGGGACCAACACTTTACATGTTGCATTTATATTTTTGTTCAGTATGATTAACATCGTTGAATGTTTGATTTCCCAGCATTTGATAATGGGAGCAGTCAAGCAAGTTACCAAATCTCCCAAAAATATTTTAGAAAAATGTCATGGACACTGACAGCAGAGGCTCTGTTTTTGGTCCAATGAAAAGGCCTGACGTCAGTTGCCACCCAAGTTATTTTCTGATCAAGTTCGTTCTCTGGTCTCTGTCAAAGTCAGTTGGTAAAATTCTGAACACGAGCCTGTTTTAAAACGACGATTTTGATAATTTAATGAAATTATAATTGAAGACTATTTTAAATACAAATATATCCATCTATTCAGGTAGTTGTCAAATGTTTAATTGAGACAATTGTAAGGGTGGTGACTTTTCAGTCAGTAAAAGATGGAAAAGTTTCTGGCTACAGTAACTAACTATAACTAGCTAACGTCTGCTAGCTAACATCAGCTAGCTAACGTTACCGCATATTTGTATGTTAACTCATTTTTAAGTTGACTAAATAGTACCATTTCTACTAGCTATTTACTTGGATAACTAGCTATATTCCACATTTCAGTAAGAATAAGTGTAGCTCGCGGTAGTAGCTAGCTGTATTTTTGATCTCGTGTGGAGTGAGTTGAGATAGAGTAGCTTGAGCGTAACGTTAGCTCAGCTGAGATTGAGATGCGCGATGTGAATTGATCGATCAGAGCGGGAAAAGTAGCTTGCTAGATAGATATTTAGCCATGTTGAACATGAAACTAGTTGTGTTCTTGTTCTAGCCTGATATTTATCATATGTTTCTCTCAACAGGATGTCGAAGTCTTTGGCTTGTAAAACCATTCATGTGTCACCTGCATTGGGGCAGTATAACCCCGATTCTGTGGAGGTGATCATGAGCCAAAACGGCTGTGTTCCAAATGATCAAAGCCAGATTTTGGGCACTGAGCTCAACCTGATGGAGATGACAGAAGTGGAGTACACCCACCTTCAGCACATCATCCAGTCACACATGGAGGCACAGGCGGCTGGTCCAGAGGGATCTGGAGATGCCCGGTTCAATACTACCGTATTCACTGTGGAAAGCCCCGCACCCCAACCTACGACCACAAACTGCGAAGCAGAATACCCAGCAAAGTCTCCACTGAACACTCCACCTGATGTCATATCAACTTCAACTGATGAGCAGCAGTACATTTTCGGCGACTTGAACCAGGGTGGACAGGTTGACATCAAGGAAATTAAAATGGTATTGGTCAGTGACGGGAATGTTATACCTGGAGAAAGGACCCCCACCACTTGCGGTGAAGTCCCCGGCTCTGTGTTGGCTAAAGTCAGGAGTGCAGTGGATGCGACCCAAGAACGCGGCTTGGAAGCATACAACAACGGTAGCACACAGCTATTGTCCAGGCCTAACCCACCCGCCCGAGTTCGCTTGGAGAAGAGGTTCAACTGCACCCCCTGTGACATCCCCAGACAACAGGATGTGCAATCAGCAGCTCTTAGCAAGAAAGTTTTATCCCTCAATTTTGAGTGACGATAATGTAGGCCTATACTAGCCATACTTTGTTTATAGCTGTAAATTATCTACTACGGTACTAAAAACACGTTGTCATAGAAGGACTGAGTTACTCAACATTTGTCTTTCTTTTACAGTTTTTTGACAATGCTTCATCACTCCAATGAGGCGCAAGAAGCAGCAATGCATCCACAACCGCAGAAGTGGGTGAGGTCAGATCGTGGCAACCCTATTGAGCTGTCATACCCATATGGAAGCATGTTCAACCCCATCGCTGGCGCCCGTCAAGTATGAGCAACATACTACTGATGTTACTAGTTCATAAAAATTGAATTGTTTTATATTGTTACAAGGAAGGGATTCAGTGCTATGTTTTGACAAGTATTCTATTCTTAGGGGTTTGGGATGGTCCCTCATATGCTTGAACCCAATAAGCATCAAGGGTTGATCATTCCAAAGAACTTCACATTCAGCTATCGGCCAGACAAGATGCCTGACAAAGTTCCATGCGTCAACATCCCCAACCCAACAGAGGAGAAAGTTTGGGTGAAGGTGGAAGGTATGTATGTGTCTGTCCAAATTCCGCATGCTTCTCATGGCTATGTCATGTACTGTAGTATTGCTGAACAAAACAACAATTAACACCCTCTTTATCTCTTTCAGATGATGCTGTGGCGAAGACTGCTAAACGCGGTAGGACCCGTGGACCCTGTGCTGTCAAGGCCCCCGGCATTGTCCCAAACTCAGTGGAGGGAAGAGCAGCTGGAGGAGCAGGCACCAGGAAGAGAGGAGGGCCACCAGTGGAAAGTAGCCAGCGCAGAGAGAGGCACAACAGCAAGGAGCGGGACCGCAGGTAATCTTACAGTACCAGTCAAAAGTTTGGACACACCTACTCATTCAACGGTTTTTCTTTATTTTTACTATTTTCTACATTGTAGAATAATAGTGAAGATATCAAAACTATGAAATAACACATGGAATCATGTAGTAACCAAAAAAGTGTTAAACAAATCCAAATATATTTTAGATTCTTCAAAGTAGCCACCCTTTGCTTTGATGACAGCTTTGCACACTCTTTGCACACTCTTTGCATTCTCTCAACCAGCTTTTCTCAACCAGCTTTGAAGAATCTCAAATATAAAACATATTTTGATTTGTTTAACACTTTTTTGGTTACTACATGATTCCATATGTGTTATTTCATAGTTTTGATGTCTTCACTATTATTCTACAATGTAGAAAATAGTAAAAATAAAGAAAAACTCTGGAATGAGTAGGTGTGTCCAAACATTTGACTGGTACTGTATACTCACAGACACACAAACTGTTGCTTGTTTTACACTCTTGGGCACATTATTACTCTTGCTCATTAGCATTCACACTTTTACATGGTACATTTGTCACAAAGTGCTTAACAGCACAGCAAACCATACCTAAACCATAAAAGAGGAAACACACTGACACTTAGTACACACCTCAAACAGAAGCACCTGTCAGTGACACCTTTCACTTTAGGAGGAGGATCCGCTTCTGCTGTGATGAGCTGAATGTGCTGGCGCCGTTCTGTAACCACGAGACGGACAAAGCCACCACCCTGCAATGGACCACCGCCTTCCTCAAGTACGTCAGAGAGGTGTACGGGGACTCCATCAAACAGGTGAGTGCCTGACCTAAGTTGATAGTCCCTATATGGCTATGACCTCACCAACAGACATATTGCAGTGTCATGCTGCTGTAGTGTCCTGAGGCACAGGTATTCCTCCTGTGGTGACTGACTCTGCCCTCTTCCTCAGGAGTTCCAGGGCACGTTCTGTGGCAAGACTGGTCAGAGGCTCAAGCCCAGCAGTGCCTCAGGTCAAGTCATGGTCCGCCAGGAGACAGCAGAGCCACGAAGCGCTCCACAGGCATCAGAGCAGTAAATACACACCTACACCTATTTAATAATTATTATATTTATTATTAATTTATTTTACCCTCGAGTTGCTGTGCTCCATCGGGTTTGGCTTTGGAATGTTAGCTGTCACAAAAGCATCAGGTATTGCCAGAGAGACAGACACATCCATTTGATTGTTTTTTGAGGAGAGGAAAAGGATTTGGGTGTTCTGTTTATTTCTTTATTACAACACCTTGAAAAAATTTTTTTCCTCGAAATGATTATTACCCCCCTTGACAGGGCATGTACTCCAACATGTACATTTCCGTCTTGATCTAGTTGGTCATATTTATTTGATCAGAGATTTCATAAATGTTTATTTTGCTAAAAAGTGTTAAAGTTCGACTGATATTTGAAACGAGCTTCCCTTCCAAACCTCATGAATGACAATAATTAAAACAGGTGAATGTTTTAAGTTTCAGACCATGGAAGTAACATTTCAACATGGTTTTGAGGGTCTTGATTGTCCAATGCAAGTTTAACTGCACTCCAGGACTCCTATGGATCAGGTTAGTGTACATGAGGAAGAAGGAGATATGTTTTTTTTTTATACAACTTTACATAATTGTGATTCTTTATGAGCCAAAAACCTTTTTATAAAAAAGAAGAGTACTTTACTGAAAGTCGTGCACAGGAGGCACTGTTTCTCTACGATAGAAGAGAATGTATGAAAATCTATGCACTCACTAACTGTAAGTCGCTCTGGATAAGAGCGTCTGCTAAATGACTAAAATGTAAATGTAAGAGGAGTTGAAAACGTGGTGATCCACTGACTAGATTTCAGTTTAGTTAATAGATGTAATATAGTTATATTTTTAATATTACGTGCATCTTTGATATCTGCAATTGTAATTTATTTAGAATGTGTTTTATACAGGGTTGTTTAGTACTTGTGGCAACAGTAAACCACATTAACAACAAATGTAGCCTTCTAAATGTATATTGTTCAGTGTTGTTCCACTCTGTACATACAACTCTGGAACTCTTTCCTAAGTTACTGTGACAGTTTTTCATATTACATTGATTATATTAGATATTATAAAATAAATGTGACTTAATTTACTTGCCTTTGTTTATCTCCTGATTGTTTTATTGCATGAACATTCAGTTGGTTAACTTTATGTAGAAAAGAGTAATGTTTTACTGAAAAGTGGCTTTATTTGTTATTTCTTACAACATGGTGCTGTAGCATCTTACTGTACATACAACAGTCACCCACAAATAATAAATAGTATTTAAAGTCATGTATATTTAATAGTTACAGCACCGGTACAAAGTGGATGTGGTCATTGCAAAATAAAAAAGGTAAAGCACACAAATCTTTAATGAGTTATACTACAATTGCAATTTCTGATGCATCCACAACATTTTTTTATTTTCAAAACCTATTGGAAGAGGAGATTTTTTAAAATCAAACATGTAATCATGAAATGTGAAAAAAGAAAAAGGGCAACAAATAAACTTTACAAAATGATTTTAAAAAGCTAGTCTAGCAAGAGTTGGAAAATACTGTGGTTGCATCAATATACAAAATATCTGGGCATTGCCTGTTACACCCAAAGCGCCTTGGCAGAGACTTCATTTTGCTCATCGGCACATATCTTCTTATTTTAAGTAAGCTTGTCTTGTGAGGTAACACCCGGGTCTAAGCAGAAAGGACCTTGACACATGCACATTCACTGCAAGGACAATCACAGTTGTAGTGTTTTGGATAATTACCTTCCAGACAGGGGTATGTGAAGCAAGATGGTAAGGGGGTGAAACAACTCAAGTACATATCTTTACACAAATAAATGGTTTTGAAAAATAATGGCCTATAAGCACTTTTCCAGTAAAGTTATTTTTCAGTTTTTTTATTAAATTGTAATTTACTTTCAATGGTATTTGGAGCGATTGCAGGTGTTCTCTAGCGCTCTTGTGAAATGTTTAATCAGCTTTGTCCACTTCATAGATGGATGGAGTCTAGATTTTTGTCTCTGTTTTCCCAAACTGCTGTTTTCCTCTTGGGATGTTCTCTTCCTCTCAAAGTAAATCTCACATCTGTTGTTACTGTTCCCGTCTTGTTTTAAATACATTCAAGAGGAAATTGTGACTCGTCTCTCTCCTCTCCTTCTCTTTTTCTCCTCCCGGGGTGGCTGGTTCCAGGATGAGGGAAGTAATGTTTAATGGTTCTTGGGATTGGAGGTTTTCCCATGGACATTTGCCCCCTGGCAGGCGGTAGTGTCACAGATTCCTGGGGAGCCCGAGTGCCCGGTCCTTCCTGTCCTACCTGCCTCTCCGGGCTCACCTGGATCTCCTGGGGATCCGTCACGCCCGTCTTTGACGATTCCAAGCACTCCTGGGATACCTATGGGTACAGAAACAGAATGCAGGGAATGAGCCAAGTCTCCCAACAGGGATACACTGATTTAAACACAGGGAAACCGGCACTACTCTCTCCAATATAGGCTCAGGTGTCCCACAAAAAAGGGTTTATACACTGGCAGAGACAGTATACTGATGCAACTCCACTTGGCTACCCTTGAACTTTTATCATTCTAGCCCAAACCCCTCTCACTGTGAATGCACAGTGTATAAACTGTCATACCTTGGTATCCTTGGTCTCCAATGGGCCCTTCGATGGCCTTTCCGATGGGTCCCTTGTCACCCTGTTCACCAAGATCACCTGTGGAAGAGACAGAAAACAATGTTACTGAAAGAAGGCAGTCTATTGGCACTACCAATTGTGCAATAGGCCCAACATAGAGATGGTCACACTTATCTGTACACTTCTTATGAGACGTACAGTATGTTCTATGCTGCAAAGTCCATTGCTCTGTGCTGATCAGAAAGGCAGACATTTCGAGTATGTTTCTTGACATGGACCTGTGTATCTCCTGTTACTTACCTCTGGGACCGGGGTCTCCCAGGTATCCAGGCAGTCCTCTGTAGCCAGGAGGTCCACGGGAGCCGGGGTGACCGATAGACCCAGTCTCTCCTGGCTTCCCTGGAGGTCCGGCAGCACCGGGGCGACCCACTTGGCCAGGGGACAGGGGCCTTCTGAGGTTGGCAGCCAGCTGTGCAATCTGATCTGAGAGAGAAAGGACAGAGGAAGAGACATTTGCAAACACATTCTTGTAAAAAAGGAGCTAATGGCCCTTTTTGGTCATTTAGACAAGGACACTACACCCTACAGCCCGTTTGATCTCCAAAATCCTCACCATCAATCATAGATCCACACAATTCTCTGATGTGCTGTTCGCTTGCCAGTTTACCCTGAAAACAGAGGCAGAAAAGACAGACATTTCATTCAGCAGGTGTTGTCAATCTGAGGCATTCTTGACGCAAGGGTGCCAAGTTTACAGGGATCGAAGTAGAGCCTTATCCCTGGTTACTCACGGGAACACCAATCTTGCCAGCGATTCCAGGCAGACCCTGTTCACCCTGGAAGCCCATTAGGCCTGGTTTCCCAGGAACCCCTCTGGCTCCGAGCTCTCCCTGTGGTCCCACCACACCTTTGGGTCCCAGCTCTCCACGCTTCCCAGACTGTAAACACAATCAAAAATCCAATCTACAGCTCTTGTGTTCACTCAGTAAATGTCAAAGAGTGTGAAAGTCAGTGGAGATGGTCAGTTGTGAGGGATGAAAGTGTTGGTCTATTGCACTCTGTGGAAAAACGTTGAACTTCTCCAACATCTTGATCTGAGGGAATCAGACAGCTCATTTCTTGCCTTCGCCTCAGAGCTGGTTTAGCAGATCATTCTAGGTGACCCCGGAAAAAGAAACTACCTGACTTGTCAAAGACTTTCTATAAAGTAAAAACTGTAGGCCTGGCCATTTCCCCTCACAATAATAAATAAAGTTGTGCAGTCCCATGAGGCGTTGTCTCACTTGATAATTAATCTAATGAACACAACAATAGCTCCTAAGTGTCAGAGTTACTATAGCTAGCTAGCATCAGGGAGAGTTAGTGAGCCACATCAGCACCTTGGCTGTAATTACATTAATTGTAAGGCAAACTGTGCTGCAGCTTAGCGTGGCTCCCTTCTCTGTAGGGATGGCAGAGAGTGGGCAAATAACACTAAAGCAACCGTACAGCAAGCTAATTAATCCAGCTAATCCTAGAATGTGAGCTGGGAGGATCCTGTGCAATGAGTTAGTGTGTTGCAGTCTGGCCTGGGTACCAGCACTTAGTAGCAACACACTGGCAACACATCAGAGGGAAAAGATAGATGGGAGAGAGGCAATAATAAGGGAAAGAGCAGCTAAAGATGTTATGTAAGATAATGAGACAAGGACAATGATAGACTGGTGTAGTAAGCCCAACTAAGTAGGGTTTTGGCTGTACTCCTAACAGTGAATGTGATCACAATGTTTTTGGTTGTTATCTACAGTATTAGAGAGACAAACCTGTCAGTAAAATATGTGTCAATGTAGAGAGTTGGGAACTAGGACCTATACATTTTGTGGTTGACGAACATACATTCAACACTGGCAAGGATATACTCCACAGTTTGGATGAAGATGAAGAGATAACTCACCTCTCCTTTTTGGCCAACTGGACCAAATTGACCCTGAGAACGAGCAAAAGATTGTTGACTAATAAGACAAAGGAAATTGGATGACATACACATTTTCATGTTGATTGGATGTATATTAATTTGACTGAATTTAAAATATGAAAGATAACTTACAGGTTCTCCATTCTCCCCGGGCAAACCATCAGCTCCTGCCACGCCCTGAACAGAAAACAAAAGAAGCCTGAGTGAATTTTTGAATAACAATAATTGCGTGTGCATGGGAGCTTCCATAGAAAATATAATGTCCATGTATTGTTATGTGCCTACAAAAGTCAAATATACTACCACATTATCTTCCATAATGAGCCCATAAACCCATATCCCCAGCTCCATAACCTTTCCCATTATCTCTTTGACAATATTCTCTCTGAACCCTTTAAGAGACAGGACATCCCCATGTGCAAACTGATTGCTGAATGAAGACAGTAGGCAGGGGGTTACTAAGATTTTATCTTAATTTGACCTTTGACCCCAAATGTAAGGAGCTACTAGTGTATGTACTTACCATGTCTCCTTTAGGGCCTGATGCTCCGACTGGACCCTGTGAGAGAAATGGAACGAGAGAGTGAGGAGAGAGAGAAAAACGGTTAATAAAATAGAGCCAGTGGTTGTGAAGACCAGTAGCAGAGCGCATGGCTCCATAGATGGCAGGCTGTGTGTGCGGAGTGAAATGGAGGGAGGGATGGAGGTGTGGTGGGTTGTGGAGAGGGGCAGCCCAGGAGCTGGATAAAGCCAGGCTTTGTTCTGCCATCGGCTCCTGAACAGGAGGCTGCTTTGTTACCTGGATACAGTATGAATACACACTGCCAAGGCTCCACCCTATAATAATGTTCTGATTCTGATTCTGAGTGAGCCCACACTGCCCAGGTTATGAGCACACACTGCTCGGATCTTAATGGGTCTGGCAGGAGGAGCTATGTGTACGTTTGTGTGTAAGCGCACGCTGCAGTGTGTGATTCTGTGTAAAAATTAATGTAGGCATTGCACTAGGACTGCTGGGGGAATGCCATCTGGGGGACATTTTTGTCTTTCAAAGTCCAGTTGGTGTTTGTGTGTAAATGCAGCCTTAACAATCGTACCCTAACATGTTCTCTGTGTGTGTGTGTGTGTGTTGGTCAGGTCGTGTGTTAAAAGGCTCTCCTCTAGTGAAGGGATTTTCATTGACAGAAATGTCTCCAGAAGATGGACTCTTTAACTCAAGCCAATATTGGGTCAGTTGGTCAAGAGTTCTAATCTGTCTTAAAAGGCATAGCTACAAATAAAAGGCCTTGTTTATTCACACAAGGACATCAGTTTAGTGGATAGGGATGCTTGGGCTTGGAACCATATGGTGAACGGTTCAAATTCCTGGGGTGGACACCACTGTTGGTCACTTCAGAGAGGTCTTTGGCCAGCAAGCATTCTGCTAGGGGTCACACTCACCCTCTCACCAAATCCGCCGCGGATTCCGGTTGGTCCAGGAAGGCCAGGGTCCCCCAGAGCCCCCTTTATTCCCTGTTGAACATGACATAGACACCATCAGAACACTCCAACACTCAATCATTAAATGGATATTTGGTGGGACACCTCATTCCGTATCCTATCATGCCACTGACCTGGAAGCCTTTGCTGCCCTGAACCCCGATGTTGCCCACTGGTCCGACGCCCCCCTGGGAAACACACATCATGTTAGCACAATAGGAAGTACATGACGGCCTAAAGACACAGGAAGTAAATCTCAGCCTGACCTTTGACTTGTGACACATAGACCTGCCTTCCCTCAACCAATAGTATCTGTTATTCGAACCTTACCTTTATGAGACTGCAATAAAGCAGGACAGATTGTGTTTATAACTTTGAAAGAGGAGGATATTGCGGTTGTGTGTGATGAGAGTCACAAGAGTCATTGTTTGTATAGAACTTGATAAAATCACTTGTGTTTGAGTTATGTCTTATCTGAGGAATGCTTTGAAATTGACACAGCACCCAGCTGTGATGGGGAAGTGCCACCTGGCTTTAGAACCAAGATGGTATCCTGCATTCCCTCTCTAGGGTTCTGATGGGGAACCAAAGACAAAGACCCCTCTGTCTCTCTGACCCTCTTTCATTATCCCTATTTCATACATTCCTGTCTTCCCTACTGCCTCCATCTCACTGGAGGAGAATAGCTGTATATAGAGTGAATATAGATAGGTACTTTCCATATAATATTGCTGGGGGGAGGTATGGGACTACATTTTCCTATGGGTGTAAGAACATGTTGTACGTTACTATGCAACAGTCTCCTAGTTAATCACAAACTATTGTGTTTTATCATTTAACTAATAAGTGGAGGTTTTCATCCTTATCCTCTCTCAATCATCATATATTCATATATAGCCCCATGAAGATATGAAACAACTGATTTTTGTTACCAGGAGTCTGTTTTAACCAATACGTTCTAATGGTCAAGAAGAACATTTTCTTCTGCTATGTTGACTACTATTCTGATTGGTATATGGCTCCACTCTACCCACTGCCATCTTTTAACAGGTGGATGCTGCCATGTTTCCATAGATACGGTATTGAACTTTAACCTGGACTACTTACAGCCACTCCTCTGGGTCCCGCCTCGCCCCTCTCTCCTGGGATACCAATGTCACCCTGTGGGAGGAGTCAGATGATGGTGCAGGCAGGTGAGAGGAGCTGACACACCATGACTGCATTGTAACAAAATGACCAACAACACAGAAACCCCTGAAATACCCCACTGCAGCCCACAAGTGCCCCAGAAGCCCATCAGATACATACAGGAATACCTGGCTCTCCAGACGGCCCTGCCTCTCCCATCTCTCCTGGGTCACCCTGGGAAGAAAAGGGGAATGGTTATGTGGTGGCTTATCTTCACTGCCATTGTACGATGTCATTTGTGACATCACTGTCTATATATTTTCCCTGAAAGTGTGATGTAATTTGTGACATCACTGTCTGTATGGTTTCTCTAAATTGTGCGATATCAGTTGTGACATCTCAGAATTTGTGACATCACTGGCTGTATTGTTTATCTTGATTGTATGATACAATTTGTGACATCACTGGCTGTATGACATCACTGTACACATTTATGATATCACTGATTATAACATCACTGGCTGTTTCTCTGATCCTATGATATCAGTTGTGACATCATTAGCTGTATGATTCCATCCTTTCATTACACAATATCATTGTGAAATCACTGGCTTTATGACATCACTAAAAGTTTCTGACATGAAATGACCAATGATATGACACACCTGTATGACATTACTGCTATGAGTCTTTATGACATGCCTATCTGGATTATGTGCATATGACATCATTGGCCATATGACATCACTGTCTGTATGCTGTGCCACAGTCTTTCTGACATCACTGTTTATTCATAGCTGTCACAGTGTGGTCTAATGGACATTATTAGGTAATTCTAGGTGTTTGTGTTGCCTGTTTGACACCCACTGATTGTGAAATCGCTCTGTGATAACTATGATATCCTTCTCTTTATAGCCTCATTGTATACATAATATCCCTGTCTTTATGAAATCACTGTCTTCATGACTTAGTTATGCATTGTTGTCATACTCACAACTCCTCCTTTTGCGCCCTTTGCGCCAGCCTTTCCTTGTAAACCCTGAAACACAGACATAGAAACATGACTCTAGAGTAGTGTCCACAGTAGCAATATGATGCCATGGGACTAGGGACTGGTTAACACACTGTGGGAGACAGAGTTAATGGCTAGTTAGGACAGAGTGGACTGTAATTAAATCTATACTGTGTTCTTTACTGCAGAGCATAGAGGTACTAACTGTTGTCTATTTGAGATGTGAGAATGTCTATAGGTCTATTTGAAATGGAAATCCATACAGAGTACAGAGGCTCCTTACAAAATGGACAGCATCTCTGTCTATGTAGTCATTAGAGTGTGTAAGAGAATCAGAGTTTATAAGGGCATCTCCCAGTAAGAGGGTACAGTGGGACTAACTCTACACAGTGGGACGCTAGATAATGTCATGCTCGATACTCACAGGAAGGCCGTTGGGTCCTTTCTCACCGGGTACCCCATTCCGTCCAGCATCGCCCTGGCAACGCAGAGAAACACTGTCACTATGACATCAAAAATGTGAGATAGCTCCCATTTTGCTCCCATTTTACTTGTGTAACTACATTATCCAGCAGACAAAGTAAAACTACCGCCTGCGCTCACATGACTGTGTTTTGTTGATTGTTCCTAAGGCCCGTACAGAACTAGGGGAAAAAAGCTTTCCAGTTCTCTGCCCGTTCCACTTGGAACGAGCTTCAAAAGATCCTGAAATTACAGGAGCTTGTCCCTTTACATGAGTTTAACGCTACAGTAGGTTAAACATTATGATGGAGAGCCTCCCGAGTGGCGCAGTGGTCTAAGGCACTGCATCGCAGTGCTAGAGGCGTCACTACAGACCCGGGTTCGATCCCAGGTTGTGTCGCAGCCGGCCGCGACTGGGAGACCCATGAGGCGGCGCACAATTGGCACAGCATCGTCCAGTTTAGGGGAGGTTTGGCCGGGAGGGCTTTACTTGGCTCATCATGCTCTAGCGACTCCTTGTGGCGGGCCAGGCACCTGCAGGCTGACTTCGGTCGTCAGTTGAACGGTGTTTCCTCCGACACATTGGTGCATCTGGCTTCCAGGTTAAGCGGGCGGGTGTTAAGAAGCGCGGTTTGGCGGGTCATGTTTCGGAGGATGCATGACTCGACCTTCGCCTCTCCTGAGCCCGTTGGGGAGTTGCAGCGATTAGACAAGATCGGAAAATTGGGGAGAAAAAGGGAGTATAAAATAAAAATCCATTCATTATAATCCACATAATAATTAAAATGCACTCTGGGAGGAGGACACAATGGAGTTGTCAACCGTGATGGCGAGATCATGGAGTGGGCAGTCCTTCCCTGGGAGGAAGACCATGGTGCTTGCCTACGGAGCTGTGAGGGGAACGGCACCTCTTTACCTTCAGGCTCTGATCAGACCCTACACCCAAACGAGGGCACTACGTTCATCCACCTCTGGCCTGCTAGCTCCCCTACCTCTACGAAAGCACAGTTCTCGCTCAGCCCAGTCAAAGCTATTTGCTGCTCTGGCACCCCAATGGTGGAACAAGCTCCCCCACGACGCCAGGACAGCGGAGTCACTGACCACCTTCCGGAGACACTTGAAACCCTACCTCTTTAAGGAATACCTGGAATAGTATAAAGTAATCATTCTACTCCCCCCATAAAAAAATTAAATAAAAAATAAATAGAAATAAAAAAAGGTGGTTGTCCCACTGGCTATCATAACTTGAATGCACCAATTTGTAAGTCGCTCTGGATAAGAGCGTCTGCTAAATGATGTAAATGTAAAAATGCTGCGGGGTTATCGTCCTGCTGTAGCAAACTGGATCAAATTAAGATCCTACATCTGTAGATGCACCACACTTTCCCAAACCATCTTGCTGTGTACATTTATGTTTTTTTTAACTCTAGTGCTTTATGTTGTAAATGTGTCTGCAACTTTGTGTGCTGCTATTTTGTCCAGGTCTCTCTTGTAAAAGAGATTGATAATCTCAATGAGACTAACCTGGTAAAATAAAGGTCAAACAAATCAGCCACACCCTCACTGTGGGCTCATGGGAAACAGAGCAGAGAGCATGTTGGGAGAAAAGGGTGCCACTTTACCTTCTCGCCATCCAGTCCCTGGGTGCCATCTTTCCCGTCTCTGCCAGGGATGCCCTGCGGGAGAGAGAAACACTGTTGGTCAGGGGTCCGAGATATCTGTTGTCATTAGAGATTTGTATTTGAAGACTTACAGGCTCCCCTTTGGGTCCTGCTCCGCCAGGAACTCCCTTTGGACCAATTTTGCCCTGTTGAGAAATGATAAGAAACAATGTTACAGTACCTGCAATTAACTGTTTGTAGCACAACATTAGATCATTTACAATCCCTTGTACCCACACCATTTATCATCATATGACTGTTTAGTCTGCTGTTTGATTAGAAATTAGAGTTATCTGTAAAGATGATGTTCAATCAGACATGCAAATATCAATACAAAAATGTATGTGTGTATTATTTACTCACAATCTCTCCCTTTGGCCCTCTAAATCCCTCTGGTCCTTTCTCTCCAGCATCACCCTGGAATTATCAAATGACACACACAGAGCTTTTTATTGATGGGACCAATGGTAGACACCTAACACAATTACATAAAGACCAACACCAAAGTGAGGAGTGTGTAACTTGTGTAGTACGAGTTATATACTCCTCAACAGACAGTACAAACAAGGAGAGACTCACTGTCTTGCCGATGACGCCAGCAGTACCAGGTTTGCCTCGGAAACCTGGTAAACCCTAAAAAGAGAGAGAGAGAGAGAACGAGAGATAATGCATTATAATCAGGAAAATTGAGTTTACACTGCAGCTCATTGAAGTGCTGGTCTGTAAATTTCAGACAGATGACAGAGGTCTGTGACAAAGACCTTCAGAGGCGTGGTACTCACCCTGTCTCCTACTGCCCCCATTGGGCCCTGAAGTCCCCTCAAACCACGAGGACCCTGGGAAACAACACCACAAGATGGTTAGGGACCAGCAGAATCAATCAGAACCACCATCAGAACCTATCAGAACAATCAACACTGCATAGCATTCACACATCAGGGCTCAGGCAGAAAGGAATGGACAATGTAAACATACAGCCAACAGATAGAAATGTCTGTGTTTTGAGCCACATTAGGTGACAAAACTCACCTGCAGGCCGACAGTGCCGGGAATCCCTGGAGGACCAGGTGGGCCAGCATTACCCTGGGAGAGAGGACACGACACACAGTTAACAACACATAGTTAACATCTGGATAAAGACTTCAGACTAGTCAAATACTCTGATTTTCACTCTTTCAACTCTGATTGATCTCACCTTCTCTCCGTCTTTCCCGAGCTCTCCCTTATCTCCTTTGTGCCCTGTGTGACCCTAAATAAAGATATATATATAGAGAGAGAAGTATTAAAGGAAAGACAGACAGAAGAAGCAAGGGATACATATTTAGAAATGGATGATGAGATATATAGAGAAAGACAAAGAGGGGTAGATGATGAGAATGGGAGAGGGAGAGATACAACAGTTAGTTTTGCTGTCATGTTCCTGGGGGAAGCGGCCATTTGAAGAGCACACATTTCAGAGCTTAAGAAGTCACAATAAGTGAGGTAGAGTGACAACAAATATTTTTTATAACTAACCCAAGATAGACCACATCCTTTCATTTCCAATGGGAGCAAATTAATCATAGTAGGCAGAACAAGCAAGGAGGTGGGAAGAGCCAAGCATGAGCTCAGCAACACATATGAGTCACCCCATTATAATCTCCATTGACGTCAGCACTGTTCCAGTGCTGGGCCTGTAATATTAAAGGACTATGATGTACTTGCTTCAATATCATTAATTATTGAGAGGAGAGTGAGGCTCTTTGTCACGACAGCAACCAAATCACATAACGGGCCCCTTATCATATATCCTTTCTATAAGGTGCATTAATCTATACCCCGAGACGGAAGTGAGACATCCCACTCCTTCATTTTTTCTGTTTCAATGCAAGCCAATGAACTCAACTCAGCAAAAAAAAGAAACGTCCGCTCACTGTCAACCGCGTTTATTCTCAGCAAACTTAACATGTGTAAATATTTGTATGACCATAACAAGATTCAACAACTGAGACATAAACTGAACAAGTTCCACATACATGTGGCGGCAGGTAGCTTAGTGGTTAAGAGCGTTGTGCCAGTAACTGAAAGGTCGCTGGTTCTAATCCCCGAGCCGACTAGGTGAAAAATCTGTCGATGTGCCCTTGAGCAAGGCACTTAACCCTAATTGCTCATGTAAGTCGCTCTGGATAAGAGCGTCTGCTAAATGACTAAAAATGTAAAAAAATGTAAAATGAGCTAGCGAGAGCTTATTGGCTCATTGCAGCATGTATTTGTATATTTCCATTAGGGAACGCCTACTCTGTGAAGTGAGCATGTGCAATAACTCAATTCGCCCTTTGCACTCCTTCTAAACACGCAGTTTTTTAAAACTTTGGCAAAGGGTAAATTCTACTAAACTTAGTCCACTCTGTTCGTAACAAATTATAGCTTTGGAAACAGACAACTGTATTGAGATCAAATGTTTCATCGATGAGAAAATTAGCAGAATGTCGGCCAAAATCCATCTCGCTCCATCTTCTCCCACTGCCGGCCGCTGGGCTTCCTCTCACCACCATATTTGGTAGTGAGTGGAAACACCAACCGGATGCTTCACATTTATACATCCGGTGAAATATCTGTCTCATTGTTTTATCTGTGGCAACAATGTCCTGTACCCACCTTGAACCCAGGCATTCCTGGAGGGCCGGAGGGACCAGGAGGACAGATGGCAGGACACTATAAAGGGGACAGACAACACTGCATTAGGTAAAGGCATGTAGTAAAAATAATGTCATACTGCTGTTCAATGTTGTGCATAGCAATCAGTACAGTACAGGATTCATGTCCTTAAATGTGTTGGGTCTAAAAAACATCCTGACACTTACCAACAGATCTCCACTGCCATCAGGGAGAGCCCCAGGAAGACCCTTAGAAAGGTAGAGAATGAAGTCTAGATTGATATATAATTGAATGAGTAACATTTCCATCTTTCTTTCTTTAAGCATTTCTTCACCCCACATCTGAGGCCATGCATCTCCATTCCTTGTGAAAACTGCAGTTATACTCTAGAAATCCACTAGGTGGCAGTACGTAGATGCACTGACTGATGGCAGCAAAAACAATGACAATGAGAGATTTCACTAATGTGAAGAATCAGCAGATAATGTAGATGTGCTGTACTTACTGGTGGTCCATCAGGGCCGGGAGGCCCAGCCAATCCTGGAAGACCCTCAGGGCCCTGGGAGAGAGAGAGAGAAGAACACACAGGTCAATAAACAGGATTCATTTGCATATAAACTGTACAAAATCAGTGCATAGAGTCACATTGCCCCTACCCTCATCATGTTAAACTAAAATCAAAGCTGACTCTTCCTTGCTGCACCCCTGGTCAGCGTCTCCGATAAGAAGCTCAACTGAAATCATGATCACTCCAATCAGTTCTGGTTCTCTCTCCAGGGGCCTCCCCCCACTCCACTCCACAGAGATGAGACCTTACGCTGGGGTAGCCCACTAACAGGACCCCCTCCGCTCATGGACGTTCTGATTCTCCCACTTGACTACTGTAAACAGTAATTGATGCTTGATTCTAGCAGAGGTTAATTTAAAAAGGATTGGACTGAAGAGACATGTCTGTCTGTCAGAGGTCTTTAGCCTTGGTCCTGGAGTGATACTGCTTCTGGTACTGCAGACTTTTTGTCATTCAGTAGTTAAACAGTTAACTCGCCAACTTGATTACCTAATCATGAATTAGCAGTGAGTCCACTAGATATCCAGTAGTGGCAGTCAAAGAGTGTATTACACAACTGGTTAAGTGTATATTTCCCTGTTTTGTCTGTTGTACATATTTCTTAATTGGGATTGATTCATTAATTGGTCTTAACACTCACCGCTGGTCCCTGTGGCCCGATTCCGCCCGCAAGCCCATTGGCTCCTGGTGGCCCCTGGAAACAATAGAAATGGGTTGGGTGAGCGCACACGCACACACACACACATGCACGCACACACGCAAGCATTCACGTACGTACGCACACACACACACACATAAATGTATAATAAAACACATCTACATGCAAAAAGATCTACGCACAAACACATACAAGAAAAGTGTTTATAATCATCTCTACTCACTGGAGCTCCTGGTCTCCCTCTGCCCTACGGAAGACAGGGGAAGGCATATTAAGACATACATACCCATCAGTTTGTGTACACTCCCAGTTATAACTGGGCATATCGGTGTGTGTCTTGTAGGAAGGGCCCAGCATGTTTCTTGACCATGTGACCTGAAACACTCTAGGCCATATATGGGTTTAGCTATAGACAGTTGAGGGGGTGTAATAGAGGTTATGAATGTGGACAGGTGAGGGGGTGTTGTGATATAGGTGATGTTGATGGCATGTAACAGAGGTGGAAGATGTAACAGTACTTACAGGAGGTCCACCTGGCCCGGGAGGTCCAGCATCGCCCTGTAGAGACACAGACACACAACCCCTCAGACGACTTCAACAGATACAATTAAACATGAGACTAGGTGGGAACTAGGTAAAAAACCTAAAACATTATTTCCATGTTCTTATGCCAAAACTGTGTTTTCGAGAACTTTGGGAGGGGATGACGTGTCAGCATTGATTCATGTATCAGTGAGCTAAAACTAGAGCAACTGCCTTGGTCCAAATAGGTGGGAAACAATTACAATTATTACATTATTATAAAGACGTTACAAATGGAAACAACAGACCCTGTTCTGCAGTGACACTCATATGACCCACAGCAAGAGCCTAATAAAGATGGACCACCCCTACCCCATCCCATGCTTTCCTTATTTTCTTTTATTTTGCTTTTCCTTGCCACTCTTTCATTCCCTCCTCCCTGTTTCCTCTCTGTTTCCCCTTGACCCCTCCTCTGTCCTCCCCAACCCCACCCCATTGGATCTCAGCTGTGTTTGGAGTGTCTGTGTGGTGTGAGGAAGAATAAGACTCACAATCAGTCTTAACACAGTGGTGTCACGGCAACCCACACTGCATTCCACCCTGTGTCCGCTGACTTTTCATTGGATGAGTGTAGAATGGTGAACAACTGCACACACTAACACACACACACAGTAAAACCCTTGCACACACTCACACACATACATGCACACACGTATAGTCACATCACTCACGCATCTGCAAACATATGCACACACAGACATACAGCCACACGCCTGCATGTCTCCTGTGATGTATGGAATGTGTGGTGGTTAGTTTTCCCTTTTCCTCTCTCTACTGTTATTCTCAGTATCTCTAATATTCTCTGCTTGATTTGAACTAAGGTCCATGAAACTACACTAACCCTTGTGCAAAGTGAGACTGAAGTCTTCACTGCTACAATGGAAGCGCACATGAACTACTTGGATTGAACAGTGAAAATATACAGTATCCTTCCCTACTCTCAGCAGTAAAGACGCTGCGTATGGGTATCAAAGAGCATTGGTGCATCTCATTATCTGGTGAATGTTTTGGGGAGGTGGTCGATATGTCTTGACAGGGAAACAGAGTTTTTCTCTGAAAACAGCTTCAGTCCATATTCCTCAGGGGGAGGGAGAGAACGCCCAAGCTTGTCAACCTTCATCCCATTAGTACATGAATGTTAGCCAGGAAATATTGGACAGGTTTTAAGCCAATTGCAGCATGGCACATTTAATCCAGGTAATTAGGCAGTCAGGTAAACACTCACTTCCTGATTAGTGGGACTAATTAGTTGAAGTGCAGAGGGCTGCCTCCACCTTGACCCATTTACACCCTTCAATTTGTGATCACAGGACCTTTTTAACACCCTTTTATACCTAATATTTAATGCATGACTCCCAACACTTCATATCCAGTCCTGTGGTGCTAGATAACATTATTAGGCTCTCCGGCGCTGTAGTGCTTTCATGCCTTCCTCGGAGGAAACAGTATTTATTTTTTCCTCCAGCATCCAAGCTGCAGATCCCTCTATTTCCTACAGTCTGGGCCTGTTTGGTGGGAAGCTGTGAGCATTCCGGGTGGGATTAGGGAAGCAGCGCAAGATAAATCCGACTCAGAATCACCCAATCTCTCATTAAAAACATTCCCACAAAGGGCCAGAGCCTGTTCGACAAATCCGTCCCGATAGGGAGAAAACGGAGGCCTGAGTAGGTACCAGCTTTAGCCCACCAAGGTCTCTCCAAGAAGCTCACTGTAACTAACCCCCTTTCTCTCTATTCTGAAGGGTCATACAGTAATGATACATAGAGGAATGAATGGTACCTTCCTCAGTCCAAGGTCATGCTAAGGTCACAACACCAGCTTTCTGTATGTGTTTTCATAAATTGAGCAAACTGAAGCACCTCGAATGGTTATTGACTTTGTCACTCTGTACCTACTGTATCTGTGTGTGTGTGTGCCTGTGTGTACCTGTGTGTGTGTGTGTGTGTGTATATATATATGTGTGAGTATGTGTGTTTTAGTGGGTGATTGATGAGGCCAAAGGGGCAGTCTTCAGTTGAGGTCATTAAAGTAAATGGGGCACATCCAGAGGCAAACAGTCAGGAACCCTGGGAGATTGAGAGGCACTTCACTTACCACCTCCCCCGGAGGACCGTCTTTCCCTGCAGGCCCATCAGCACCTGTCAATCCCTGAGGAAGAATCACAACATCATGAAAACATTATTAGACATTATATTGTGCTATTTCTTATGTGTAAATTGCTCAATTCAACTGTTTAGATAGATGGCAGACATATAATGTTCTTATCAAGTTCTCTAACAAGAGGTAGCTATGAGCCAATTGTTCATACTTGTTCTAGAGGACAGGTTACTCGCTCTGTATGCATGAATGCAGGTAAATGTCGGTTCAGTCCAAATCAGTCGACTCCAGGTAGTTAATTATACGATGAGATACATTGAATACCGGGAAGTGGTCTAAGCAAGTGTCAAGGACTACAGCTTGAGATCAATAGCCTCAAACTACTGTATATCTAATAGGTTCTACAGCAACTGAGTTCTACAGCAATTCAGGCAATATTTTACGCATCAACAACAGGACCAGTGTGTATGTGTGTTTTTGAGTTTCTACGGGTCACTTACGTCCACCCCCGGGAGGCCGGGCAGGCCTGGGTTCCCTGGTCCTCCTGCTACCCCTGCTTTCCCCTTGGGTCCCTGAAACATTGGGACAGCTCGGTGTTATAACAATCACACACCCTAAACAATTGGGTTGTTGATCCGTCGTTGTAAAAGGCTCTGTTCAGTTGTTATACTCACAGCTTTCCCTGAAAGTCCAGCAGGGCCGTCTTTGCCCTGTCAATTAAAAGAAACAACATAAGATTCCAAAAGGACACGTCTAAGAGGCATCTGCCTTTTGATTTCAGTCTGACAGATTTTGAACATAAGTTGTCTGTTAATACAAATCCAGTCACAAATGTCACTCGATTACTGTGTGTGTTTAAAGACTAATACATCTCAGCAGAAAGCTGTGAAATATGGACGTCCTTCTGGACATTTTTGTTCTAATAAAAGGTAAATCAAAACACGACTGAAATGAAACCCACCCTAGAGCTATACATTGAATGGCTAACAGTGATAGACAGACTGGGTGTATGAAGTGCTTTAACACAGTTGGTTGTAGTTACTCTCTGCCCTAAACAGTGCTAAAATGGACCTGACGGAGCAGAGTGGTCACATGATGAAAGCCTCCAGTTGGTTTCGACAGGGGGTAGGGAACGGGAGGGGGAGAGGGAGGAGGTGTGATGGGTAATTTTAGATTATCTCGTAGAGTTGGGGAATGTATGAATGAATGGGTCCTCTGTATGGCTGGCTGGTCTTCCAAGCTGTGGTGAATTGACTTTACTCCACTAAAGCAACACAAGTTTCAATCCCCAAAATCTAAAGATTTGATAGACATAAAGATACAGTATGTATATCAAATATATGGAATTTCTGTTATGAGATCAGTAAAGTTGCAAGCTCTGTTTCGGCTCATTAACATTTAAAGGTATTGTAAAAGTTTGAGAACATAGGCCTTATGTTTTTAAGCACATAATCCTATTTCACCTTTAACATATAGTACAGACTTGATGTCTGGTTTAAGTTCCAATTTAAGGCTTTTCTCATATCTGTCATGATTGGCTCTGATGTGTCATTGGCTGCCCTTTAGCCAATAGGAGGCCTGTGTGCGGAGTGTTTAATGATGACCAAATAAATACCTGTGGGGGCGGGCATTGACTCAGTGGGAGGAGTCAATCTGTTATAAACTGGATTATGAGAGAGCATTTGACCATAATTTGACTGCAAGAGCCATACTAAAACACCACTATCAATGATGGGAAATTGAAACAACTTGATCAACCTTGATTAGAAATAGAATATCAGTCATACTTGGATTTTCAATCCATTTGATTTGGATAAACTCATATTTTTCTATTTTTCCCTTAAGAAATTGTAGAAACTTAAAAATTACTTTGATTATTATTAGGATCAAAGAGACAACACCTTCCACATAGGTAAATGTTAAAATTCGTTGTGACATGTTTCTTGATTGCCTCAGCCATGATGACAACTTAAGTCAGTAATTGGATAGCAAAACCCTGCTCTACTACAACACTCCATGTCTGGCTAACTCACATCAGTGCCATCCTTCCCCTTGGGTCCCGGGGGTCCTGGTGGTCCGACTGCTCCTCGTGGGCCGGGTCTCTGCAACACAAAACCATTACCTCAAAAATCAATACAAAAAAATACCCGGAAGACAGGGATTATCATGCTATGAATCTCTATAAAATGGCCTAAAATCAAGCTCCTTATGTCTAACTACTGTCAAAAAGGACATGGAAGGAATGTGGGCATTAAGGATGAAAACAGACAGGATACAATTGCACCAACAACAAAAAAAAAAAGCCTAAAATGCTTTGAAAGTGGTCGAATAATAGTGTGAATTGATCGTGCATCATTATTTAGAACAAAAAGAAGAGGCCATATTTTGCAGGCTTCAGTAGGCAATGTTATAATGCATTGCTCTGAATCTCCTAAACAATAAACTACAACAAAGTAAAAATAAATGTCCCTGATTCCGTTGTAAGAATGTGAAAAACAATCAAATGTATTATAAAATAGATGGTGCCAAAGCCATGCGAATCAAATAACCCGTTAAACGACAATGCGCAGAATTACGCACAGATAGTGCGAAGATATCCTGGGGTCACAAACTCATAATTTAAGTGTAATAAAAGGATGAACATATCACAAATAATTCACACAAATAGAGTTCACTTAATTTCAGGCTGGACTAATAAGCTTTGGTCTTTCCTAGAGCTTCCCAGGAGCACGGCTGAATGAACAAAGCTGTCATTGTGCACAGGCCACTGGTCTCCAGGCTCTGCATTCCTCAGCCTCAAGGAAAACATAACCCCGACTCCAGAAATGTGCAAGTAAATGAAAAATGATTACTGCAAAGACAGTCTTTCACGGACACCCGTGTACGATTAAATAAATAAATGGATAGGGAGTTTGCATAATCTGCACAATTTGACCTCATTGCTTCAATCGACACCTTTTACAGGCTACAACCTTATAAAACAAAGACAACGTAGGAACTAAATCGTCTATATATCACCGATGTATAAAACTGGGTCAAAGGTGCATGTCAAAATGGATGGTAAATAGCCTAACAAAAGTGCAGGTAGCCGCATTGCAGGTAGCCTAATTACCATGGAAGGATTAGACTGTCACATTTACACCCACAGGGTAGGCTAAGGCAGAAATTAGGAACTGAATGAGAAGAACCTGTTAGTTATCAAACGCCTCTAAATCCATCAGGCAGCTTACAAAGTAGCTACTACCCGCAACTCCGAACACAGGTTAGCTGATGAAAACAGCAGGCATGGATTGATAACGGGCGCACCAAAGCCACCGCTTACCTGGGATGTAGATGATGTCAAAAGCTGGCACAGCAAAAGCAGCCCGAGAGCTGAGAACATAGCCATGGCTCCCCGCTTGCCCCTCAAATCCGAGTTTACGCGGAAAAAGTCAAACCCCGTTCCCAGTCCTTATCGCTCGCTCTCCCCCAGGTTTCGCGACGGACCGCTCCTTCACTTTACAGCGCGCGGCTCCTGAATGGCTTTCACGTTGATTCCAGATAAACCCGAGCCTCCAGCCGAAGGGGCTGAGCTCAGTCGTACTGTAGAGAGGGATGAGGAAGGGGGGGTGGGGGACGGGACTGATGGAGGTGAGAGCGAGGTAGAGGGGCACGACTTCTGAGACAGTAAAAGTGGGCTGCGCTAAAATGTTCCTGCAAATCCATGGGGGCCAATGTTTGGGTAGGTACAAGCAAAATGGTGGAAACTCCACCGGCCTAGAGGCGCTACACCATATTGCTTACACCTATCCAAACCATTGAGATCAACATGAAGTACCCAACCATAGGGCAGAAGCTACACTAGGGTTTGGAATGTTTTGGACGTGAAATCAGAGACTTCCGGGAGGACTGACCCTTCCTTGGTCTACAACTAAGTTTCACTTCCACCAACATGCAACTTCAGTTTGTAAAACTCACAGACTGGACCATTCTCATACCAGGTAGCATATTGGATAAGCAAGCCTACTCTGAATACATTCACCTGGTGACATTTGGACAGTATCCATGCCACTGCACTACACTGCTCCTCAGCTGTTAGCATAGTACAGTATTCAGACAAAACCAAGGTTGGAATCTGAAGAATTTTATAATTCTAGAAAAAATTGAAAAATAAATAAACACATTCAAATAAATTGTACAATCTTTATTTTATTGTCATTTAACAGGAAAAAAGGGTAGAGTTTGGAGGTTGCATGGACAAAGGAATCTGAAATTCCATCCCTAACCCCACCTAAGTGGAGTATATTTTATAACAACCCTTTCTATGCACAATTTCAAAACATGTACAATTAATAGATTAATTAATTTGCGGAAAAGTTTTAAAAATGGACATTCATGACAAAATCTTCACCATGGTGAAAAACAAAGATGACCCAAACATAACCTCAGAGATGGAAGAAATGCCATCCAATTGGTGACATATTTTCATGCGAATATTCCAAATTCCGCATAAAGAAAATGTGCATTTTCCAACCAGTGGTTTCCACCAAACGGACTTGTTGCGCTTAAAAATCAGTGCGTGATGACAGTGCACAGAAAATGTACTTTTTCACTAAAAGGAAAAAACTCCATTGTTAGTCCATTGTTGATATAGTCCCAAAATGTTTCGCATGTCAGCAATCAAGTTTAATATATATACACAGTAACTTTCAAAATACAGCGGGTATGATGCATTTTGCATCATATGAGCTGCATGAGATGCAAAATGCATCATACCGGCTGTATTTTGAAAGTTATATCTCTTAACTTGATTGCTGACATGCAAAACATTTTTGGGACTATATCAACAATTGACTAATGAAACAAACACCACAAAATAGTTTTTGGGTGGAATTTTCCTTTAAGCTTTCACATAGAGTATAAAATCTAAAGTGCAATGTGTTACCATCGCATTTAACTCAACCGATAGTTTTGTCACGAAAACTGTTGCGTTAAATAGCAAATGTGCCTACTCTGGTCTTGGTCTCTAGCCAACAGCTGCTCACAGATACAGTGCGGGTAGGCTAGTTCACATTATTAGATTAGTATGGATTACTGTGAGAATATTTATATTTTTCAAACTGGAGTCAAGCATCGATCATCATGTCACCAGAATAAGACCCTCGATGTCTATTGGAAATTAGCATCAAACTCATCACCGTGCACTGTCACCACCCTGTGAAGTTGATCATAAATTATTTAATCTGTAGCCTAACTGCATGGTTTCCCGAGTCGTTCTGGGAGGACCACACAACATATGATCGTGTGACTCCAAGTTTACTTCGATATGGTTTCCACCGCCATATTTACCGACACAAAAAGATCCCACCATGTCGAACGAACAAATTATCTGTCGGCATTTATAAACGGTCTTGATTTTCTTTTATACGGTATGACTTTTTACTAGCATGAAAACTGTGACTGGAAACATGGTTTATGTCCCAAACATAACCTCAGAGATGGAAGAAATGTTGTTTACTATCTCCCACAGGGTTTTCCTGAGATTTGCAATTCAATAAACGAGTACAAGGGCATCAGGCAAATCATATAATACAATATAAAAATAAACAATTAAACAATCAATACATACAAATACGCTCCAGAACATAAGGAAAGAACACCCACATCCTATTGATGACACATATCATCCAACAACAAAGCAAAAGTCGTTTTTCCATATAGCTACATCTCATTATTCCAATACTGCCAAGAAGACATAATACAATCAACCAGTCAAATGTTTTTTTCTTTTTTTTGGCAGTCATCTATAGATCATACCTCTCATACCCAAAATAATAATTGTGCAACATTCTTGAAATAAACTAATGACATTACAATCCCATTTCACAGTATGGGCTTTCAGTAAAAAAAATAACACTCATCTGAACAAGGACACATGATACATCATACTAGATACAAAGTATATTTCCAAATGTCTTTATTTTTTTGTGCAAAATGACTGTAAAGTTGTAACAAGCAAGCAAAAATTCATTGTGTGATATGTAATTAATAATTTCAATGTTAACTCTAATTACAGACTTTCCTTATCAATCTCCTCAGTACAAAGCTCCTAACTACTTGCAGTTGCCGGATCAACCATGGAGAACTGATCAACCATGGAGAACTGATCAACCATGGAGAACTGATCAACCATGGAGAACTGATCGCAGGCATTACCATAATCCCCTTCCCTGTCACAACACAATTTCATCAGACGTGAACAAATAAATTCAGTAATCCATACCAACAAAAATAACATACCCACTCTAATGTGAACACTGAGGACAGTAAATGTTAATATAATAAGGCCTGAAAATGTACTGTTAATCAGTGGAAACCACCCAGACCCTACTTCATAGGCATTTCTGTAGAAGTCAGAATGTATGCCATTCTGAGAGGATTGGAAATGTGTAAGCAATATGGAGAGAATTCCATCTAGCCTACATTATTAGACAGCAAGATGGAGCTTTTACCATATGGCTTATACCTATATTATCTGATGGGGTCGATTTTGGGATTGGCCATAAGTGAACATATGTCCCTTTAGTCTGCCTCTGATTGATTCCTTGATTCCTTGATTCCTTGATTCCTTCCTTCCTTCCTTCCTTCCTTCCTTCAGGAAGATCCCATGTCTTGGTCTGAACTTGGCTGGTAGGTGGATTCCACATCCATCACCTCCACTTCATTTTTTACTTCTTTCCCATTTGTCTGGCCCTTTACAGCTTTCTCTGTGTTCTCCCCACCCACTGGCACTGCGTTGTTATCAGTCACATCACTAAAGTCAGTCCTTGGGTGTTTTTCACCTCGTTCTGAGGAGTCAGATGGCAAGTCCTTTTTGGGCCAATCCTTTTTGGTCAAGTCCTTTTTGGGCGAATCCTTTTTGGTCAAATTCTTTTTGGGCGAATTCTTTTTGGGATCATCAGTCTTGGCTTTGTGGGATGATGTCACGGACAGGCTCATCTGATTGGAGTGGTTGTTGTTGTGGACAACCGTGCCTTCCTCCCGCCTGTTGCTAGGCACGCCCTTGTGACCTTCCCTTTTCTTCTTGGTCGGTTGCTCCAACTTCTCAGACTCCATTTCAGATGCAGCTGGCTTGACATGGACTGAGTTCTGGATGCTGTCCTTGGCTTGACTGTTCTCTTTGAGTCCTTCCTCCATACTGTGGTCTCCTTTAACAGACTCAGGGTCTGGGCTGCCTGAATGGTCCATGTCAACATTGTTAGTATCATTACGGTTCCCGTTTCCCAGTGGTTCAGAGTCCTCTGAGGAGACCGCTGGCCCAGGAGGATCAACAGAAGACCCCTCGGCCTGCTTATCTCGGTCACTACTCACTGCTTGATCAGTCAACTTGGCCGTCTCCGTCACCTCCTCTGTGACACCCTTCTCTTCCTTCTGGGCTCCCCCAGCCTCTAATCCTCTAGCCTTGGCTCGTGGGCGGCCCTCCTCCCCTCCCTCTCCGTTCCCCTTCTCTGCCTTCTTCAGCTGTTTCTGGATCTTTCGGGGGCACCACACAAACTTGTCCTTGGGCTCGAAGTGCTGGAAGGCGTAGCGCAGCAGCTCTTTGCGCTTCTGCTTGTCACGCACGGCAAATAGGAAGTAGTCAAACACGCTGCGCTTGACGCTGCTCAGGTTCTTCTTGACCAGTGTCTCCTCCAGGAAAAAGCGCACCAGCGGGCTCTGGTAGTGCTCAAAGCCTAGCTCCCCCAGGCTCTTCAGGATGCGCGTGATGCGAAGGTTATTGTGCATGTTCCTGAGGGGGGGGACAAGAGAAAACACAACCAATATTTAGATGGAGGACCCCTATTCACACAGTGAACACCTAACAACTAAGACACAAGGAAATGAGTGTTTCTCATTTAGAAATTGGTCCAAGAATGGTCATAAGTGGTTTAACATGGTCCTAAGAAACCACACCCTGTAAAGTTGGCCAAGACATGGATTCAGCAACTCACCGTTCAAGGTTGGCGAAGCGTTCCTTCCAGTTGTCGGCACGTTTGACCTCGCCTGTGTCTTTGTTGACCAGCTGGATGCCATAGAACCCCAGCATGAGCTCGTAGGACTCCACCAGCCTCTTCTTGGCCTCCTCGCTCTCCCGGAAGGCCTGATCACACAGTCGGACAAGAGCACAGAGATCATCATCATCATCACTTTGATGGAGGAAAAGCTCCATTCACATCAAAGCTTCGTCTGCTTACTAGACCCAAGGGAGTCCTTCGACAAGTCACCCAATGCTTACTGTTTCATTCAACACACCTCATTTTGTTGAAGGGGCATTTCACAGTGCTTTATTGTACCCTTTAACTACACTTGCACATCAGTGCTCCACCACAAAGATCAAGCAAAATGTTATGGTGAAGTACTCACCTGGATCTCCTTCTTGGTGAGCTCAGAGGCCATGTAGTTCACTCCTGGCTCCCGCAGTGGAAACAACCTGAGAGCAACAGTGGATTATAACAACTTGAGATTGCTACATATCACATTTTATTTGTCACATGCGCCGAATACAACAGGTGTAGGCCTTACTGTGAAATGCTTACTTACAAGCCCTTAACCAACAATGCAGTTAAGAAAATAATTTACTAAATAAAACAAAATGTAACACAATAAAATAACAATAACGAGGAGACTTTACACACATACACACGTTCAAATGTTTGGGGTCACTTAGAAATGTCCTTGTTTTTGAAAGAAAAGCAATTTTTTTGTCCATTAAAATATCAAATTGATCAGAAATACAGTGTGGACATTGTTAATGTTGTAAATGGCTATTGTAGCTGGAAACGGCTGATTTTTGATGGAATATCTACATAGGCGTACAGAGGCCCATTATCAGCAACCATCAGTCCTGTGTTCCAATGGCACATTGTGTTTGCTAATCCAAGTTTATCATTTTAAAAGGCTAATTGATCATTAGAAAACCCTTTTGCAATTATGCTAGCACAGCTGAAAACTGTTGTGCTGATTAAAGAAGCAATAAAACTGGCCTTCTTGAGACTAGTTGAGTATCTGGAGCATCAGCAATTGTGGGTTCGATTACAGGCTCAAAATGGCCAGAAACTCAGTCTATTCTTGTTCTGAGAAATGAAGGCTATTCCATGCGAGAAATTGCCAAGAAACTGAAGATCTCGTACAACGCTGTGTACTACTCCCTTCACAGAACAGCGCAAACTGGCTCTAACCAGAATAGAAAGAGAAGTGGGAGGTCTCGGTGCACAACTGAGCAAGAGGACAAATACATTAGTGTCTAGTTTGAGAAACAGACGCCTCACAGGTCCTCAACTGGTAGCTTCATTAAATAGTACCTGCAAAAACACCAGTCTCAACGTCAACAGTGAAGAGGCGACTCCGGGAAGCTGACCTTCTAGGTAGAGTTGCAATAAAAAGCCATATCTCAGACTGGCCAATAAAAATAAAAGATTAAGATGGGCAAAAGAACACAGACACTGGACAGAGGAAGATTGGAAAAAAGTGTTATGGACAGACAAATCGAAGTTTGAGGTGTTCGGATCACAAAGATTAACATTTGTGAGATGCAAGACCAAATGAAAAGATGCTGGAGGAGTGCTTGATGCCATCTGTCAAGCATGGTGGAGGCAATGTGATGGTCTGGGAGTGTTTTGGTGGTGGTAAAGTGGGAGATTTGTACAGGGTAAAAGGGATCTTGAAGAAGGAAGGCTATCACTCCATTTTGCAACACCATGCCATACCCTGTGGGCAGCGCTTGATTTGAGCCAATTTCCTCCTACAACAGGACAATGACCCAAAGCACAGCTCCAAACTACGCAATAACTATTTAGGGAAGAAGCAGTCAGCTGGTATTCAGTCTATAATGGAGTGAACAGCACAGTCACCGGATCTCAACCCTATTGAGCTGTTGTGGGAGCAGCTTGACTGTATGGTACGTAAGAAGTGCCCATCAAGCCAATCCAACTTGTGGGAGGTGCTTCAGGAAGCATGGGGTGAAATCTCTTCAGATTACCTCAACAAATTGACAACTAGAATGCCAAAGGTCTGCAAGGCTGTAATTGCTGCAAATGGAGGATTCTTTGACGAAAGCAAAGTTTGAAGGACACAATTATTATTTCAATTAAAAATCATAATTTCTAACCTTGTCAATGACTACATTTCCCATTCATTTTGCTATATTTCCTATTCAAACTCATTTCATGGAAAACAAGGACATTTCTAAGTGACCCCAACATACATACATACACATACACACACACACACACACACACACACACACACACACACACACACACACACACACACACACACACACAGAGTACCAGTCAAAAGTATGGACACACCTCCTCATTCAAGCGTTTTTCTTTATTTACTATTTTTTACATTGTAGAACAATAGTGAAGTCATCAACACTATGAAATAACACATATGGAATCATGTAGTAACCAAAAAAGTGTTAAACAAATCAAAATATATTTTATATTTGAGATTCTTCAAATAGCCACCCTTTGCCTTGATGATAGCTTTGCACACTTGGACCACTCTCAACCAGCTTCATGAGGTAGTCACCTGGAATGCATTTCATTTAACAGGTGTGCCTTCTTAAAAGTTAATTTGTGGAATTTATTTCCTTCTTAATGTGTTTGAGCCAAATCAGTTGTGTTGTGACAAGGTAGGGGGGTATACAGAAGATAGCCATATTTGGTAGAAGACCAAGTCCATATTATGGCAAGAACAGCTCAAATAAGCAAAGAGAAACGACAGTCCATCATTACTTTAAGACATGAATGTCAGTCAGTACAGAACATTTCAAGAACTTTGAAAGTTTCTTCAAGTGCAGTCGCAACTACCATCAAGCGCTATGATGAAACTGGCTCTCATGAGGACCGCCACAGGAATGGAAGACCCAGAGTTACCTCTGCTGCAGAAGATAAGTTCATTAGAGTTACCAGCCTCAGAAATTGCAGCTCAAATAAATGCTCCAGAGTTCAAGTCACAGACACATCTCAACATCAACTGTTCAGAGGGGACTGTGTGAATCAGGCCTTCATGGTCGAATTGCTGCAAAGAAACCACTACTAAAGGACACCAATAATAAGAAGAGACCTGCTTGGGCCAAGAAACACGAGCAATGGACATTAGACCGGTGGAAACTTGTCCTTTGGTCTGGAGTCCAAATTTGAGATTTTTGGTTCAAACCGCTGTGTCTTTGTGAGACGCGTGTGGGTGAAGGATGATTTCTGTGTCGTAAAGGAGGAGGTGTAATGGTCTGGGGGTGCTTTGCTGGTGACACCGTCTGTGATTTATTTAGAATTCAAGGGACACTTAACCAGCATGGCTACCACAGCATTCTGCAGCGATACGCCATCCCATCTGGTTTGGGCTTAGTGGGACTATCATTTGTTTTTCAACAGGACAATGACCCAACACACCTCCAGGCTGTGTAAGGGCTATTTTACCAAGAAGGAGAGTGATGGAGTGCTGCATCAGATGACCTGGCCTCCACAATCCCCCGACCTCAACCCAATTGAGATGGTTTGGGATGAGTCGGAAGGCAGAGTGAAGGAAAAGCAGCCAACAATTGCTCAGCATATGTGGGAACTCCTTCAAGACTGTTGGAAAAACATTCCAGGTGAAGCTGGTTGAGAGAATGCCAAGAGTGTGCAATGCTGTCATCAAGGGACCTAGACTTGGCGCTCCGGTACCGCTTGCCGTGCGGTAGCAGAGAGAACAGTCTATGACTTGGGTGACTGGAGTCTGACACCGCCTAGTTCTGGATGGCAGGATGCTTGGCCCCAGTGATGTACTGGGCCGTACGAACTACCCTGTGTAGCGCCTTGAGGTCAGATGCCGATCAGTTGCCATACCAGGCGGTGATGCAACCAGTCAGAATGCTCTCAATGGTGCAGCTGTAGAACTTTGAGGATCTGAGGACCCATGCCAATATCAATAATAATAGGCCCTCCTGTAGCTCAGTTGGTAGAGCATGGCGCTTGCATCGCCAGGGTTGTGGGTTCGTTTCTCACGGGGGGCCAGTATGAAAAATGTATGCACTAACTGTAAGTCGCTCTGGATAAGAGCGTCTGCTAAATGACTAAAAATGTTTAAAAAAAAAAAAAGTTAATAGCACAGTGCAATCGCTTCACTGATGTTGTATCAGTATTTTTTGTCATAGCGTTCCTGTTGATATTTCACTGCTCCGTGCTATGGCTAAGTGCCAAAATGTGAGTGATTGACAGTTTATTGCAAGTTTGACACTTGATAAGATTACTGTGCTGCTATCATTGTCAGGCAAATTATAGGCCTATTCATAAGGTAATAAAGTATAATACCACATTATAACAGCATAACTACCTAAAACAGGGATGGGCAACTGATGGGGGTGGGGCCACAAAAAAACAGAACTCATCATGAGGGGCCGCAGTGGTTCGTGGGTGGCAATTGTACACATTTTGCCATTGGGTGGAGAGAAAAATTAGCAATTCTATAGCTAATTTCCAGCAATTCTACACATTTTGCCATAGGGTCAGTGGTGACCCATCATTCAGGGCAGTTGGGGCTCTATAAAAAAATGATATATACAGTGAGGGAAAAAAGTATTTGATCCCCTGCTGATTTTGTACGTTTGCCCACTGACAAAGAAATTATCAGTCTATAATTTTAATGGTAGGTTTATTTGAACAGTGAGAGACAGAATAACAACAAAAAAATACAGAAAAACGCATGTCAAAAATGTTATAAATTGATTTGCATTTTAAATGAGGGAAATAAGTATTTGACCCCCTCTCAATCAGAAAGATTTCTGGCTCCCAGGTGTTTTTTTATACAGGTAACGAGCTGAGATTAGGAGCACACTCTTAAAGGGAGTGCTCCTAATCTCAGCTTGTTACCTGTATAAAAGACACCTGTCCACAGAAGCAATCAATCAATCAGATTCCAAACGCTGCACCATGGCCAAGACCAAAGAGCTCTCCAAGGATGTCAGGGACAAGATTGTAGACCTACAAGACCATCGCCAAGCAGCTTGGTGAGAAGGTGACAACAGTTGGTGTGATTATTCGCAAATGGAAGAAACACAAAAGAACTGTCAATCTCCCTCGGGCCTGGGGCTCCATGCAAGATCTCACCTCGTGGAGTTGCAATGATCATGAGAACGGTGAGGAATCAGCCCAGAACTACACGGGAGGATCTTGTCAATGATCTCAAGGCAGCTGGGACCATAGTCACCAAGAAAACAATTGGTAACACACTACGCCGTGAAGGACTGAAATCCTGCAGCGCCCGCAAAGTCCCCCTGCTCAAGAAAGCACATATACATGCCCGTCTGAAGTTTGCCAATGAACATCTGAATGATTCAGAGGAGAACTGGGTGAAAGTGTTGTGGTCAGATGAGACCAAAATCGAGCTCTTTGGCATCAACTCAACTCGCC